AAGTGTGGCAGCATGAGAGAAGCTCTAGAGATTTTCCAGGCTGCTGCCAAGTTGGGAACAAAGGACGTGGTTTTGTGGAGTGCAATGATCAGCGCTTGCTCGCAAGGAGGGGAAGACGAGCTAGCCTTGGAGCTCTTTGCGCTTATGCTTTTGGAAGATGGAGTGGAGCGGCCGTGCTCAATGCTTGCACGAATCTGGGTTGACTGGACCTGGGCGGAGAGATTTACCCCCAGCTTACAAGAACAGGGACAGGGACTTCGTCCAGCGTTTTCGTCTGCAACAGTCTGATGGATATGGATGCGAAGTGGGGGAGATTGCTGGATTGTTGGCGAGTTTTTGATGGGATGAGGGATTCGGTCTGCTGGAATGTTATGATCATGGGATATGCAAAGGTGGCGAGGCCGAGAGTTTTTCACGGCCATGCAAGCGGGAGACGTGGTCGTCAGTTCGAGAACTTTGGTGGCCGTTCTCCAGGCGTGCTTGGATAGGAAGAGGTGGATGGAAGGCCCTTGAAAGTGGCGTCGCTGGAGAAGTTATTGACGTTTCATTCCCGCTTTCTCCACGGGCTGGAAGATACAAACAACTTGATCAGTCTCTACGCAGTGTGGAAGTTTGGGTGATGTGCTCGGGTTTTTAATAACATCATGATCGAAGCGTACACCGAGTGGCAACCGCATTCACTCCTTTCAATTTCCCAACCTGTTCTGGTTCCAGCATTCCTGCAAAGATAGAGAGAAATAGCTCAGTCTCAGAGCCCCAAACTCACGCCACCATACCTTTAAGATCAAATACAATAGTGTCACCCTCCTTCGCCTAGTAGACACGATGAGTTTTCTTCTTTTATGACGCAAGAGATGAGTGGCTAAGCTTATGAATGTATATCACAAACCTGCTGTTACATGAAACTTGTTCGGGACTGTAATCTTGAGCAGGCCAGTCGACTCATCGTCTAGAGAGAGTTTCAGATCCTGGAGTGTGTCACTTGGGAATGAGAACTTCCGGTACTTATCCTGACATGAGACTGTCAAGGCGCATTTACTCCTTTGAATTTTCCAACCCTGTTTTGGTTGCAGCAACCCTGCAAAGAGAAACAAATAGAGAGCTCAGTCTCAGAACACCAAAATCACGCCACCATACCTTCAAGGTCAATTACAATAGTGTCACCCTCGGCTCTCTTCCATTTCGTTTGCAGCAGGGTTGGAGCCTTCACCTAGCAGACACGATGTTAACGATGTAGATACAATAAGGCATATACTTACTAGTAGCGGGCTTCAGCTTACGCTGGCGTTCAGTGCGTGGGGAAGCTCAAATCTGAAAAGAGGCAGCAGACCATCGGCACTAAATTCGGGAAGGCCACCCGCATCAGCCACCACCTCTGCTCTGACCAGCGCTTCCTCAATGAGAAGTAGGTGTCTGTCGGTACAGTACGAGTCTAAAGGGACTCGGTCTGCAGACTCGTTTCTGAAGTAGTTTACTATTGCCAGGAATCAAAACATGAAAGTTAGAACACACAGACAATCTGATCGAAAAATTACATGGCAGAAGCTGAGGCTCGTGAAGAGGCTCAATATCGTAGTTGTCAAGTGAATAGTCACTGGCGACCATTTTCTTGCAGCTGACGGACATTTGGCTGACCAGCAAATAGGTCCTTTTCAGCTTGGCAGATTGCGTTCTTGAGGAATTCCAAACAAGGAGGCCTCGCCTCTTCAGGATCATGACGAAACATCCTGCCAATCTACAAAGATTGAGACCTGTATTCCCTAAATCTTCATAGCAAAAGGAATTACAAAAAGGCAATATTACCATGTCAAACTGCTTCGCCATCTTGTAAGAAGATTATGATATAGGAATATCTCGTATATGACACCACATGCAATTCCTATGTGGCATATAGCTGAAGTAGGGCACATAACTATTTGTTTGGGCCTCACAAACAGTTTTTGAATGAAGAGATTAGATTAGAAAATGAGGAAACTCACATAGCTTACAATTGGTATTAGAGAAGCTCAATTGGCATTAAGCTTTCATAAATCAACTTAAAATTCGTGTCTCTAGCATACTTCACTGGAAAGGAAGTTGTAAAATTCGTGATAGCCACTGAAATTGCATTCATGCATGCTCATCGACTGAGCAGATCAGCTACTAAGTTCTTATCTCCTGGAATGTGAACAATCTTAAAGTGGAAATTTACAAAGAACGCTTGAGTCAAATAATGTTTCAATGCATGGTGGTCTGTCCAATGCTTCCATTTCTGTAAAGCATATATCATTGCCAGAAATTCTTTATTGTACAGAGAGTAGTGTGCCTCAGCACTGCTAAATTTATGGCTTTCATAAGCAATAGCTTTACTCTCTTGCATTAACACACTTCTATGCCAGAATCGCTTGCATCCGTCATCACCACAAAGGACTTGGATGGATCTAGAATGGTCAAAACCGGAGCATGAGTCAAAACATGTTTCAACACCTCCATAGAAATGAGGTTTTCTTGTGGAGCAAATTAGTAAGTGGAGTAGTGAAAGATCCTTAACAAATCTCCTGTAAAAACCAGTGAGGCCTAAAAAGGATTGTACCGGTTCTTATGACCCTACTTCAGCTATACACCACTGTGGTGTCATATACGAGATATCCTTGTATCATAATCTTCTTACATTAAAATGGACAATGTCCTTATTGTCCCAAAAAGCTTTCGTAAATCACCTTAAAACTCACTCAATTGGTTGCTACCCCACTAGTGGAATTAAAGAATGTCGGGACTCACAAGCGATTGGATGATTCTGATGAAGAAGATTCCCCGGAGCCCAAGCGTGAGGAGGAATCTCCACCCAAAGTGAAGACACTATACCATCTGCTTAAGAAAGAGAAGAAGCTTTATGTGCTGCCATTGCTGAAGCCCTATAATGGTGCTAGAATCAAGACAACGCTCTCAGATTGGGCGTTGAAGATGGAATCCTACTTTGTAGCCGCAAAGACACCAGAAAGTGAGCAAATGATGTGTGCATCTAATTCTTTGGAAAAGGATGCCCTCTCGTAGTGGCATCGTTATTTAGCTTCAGTTGAAAACAGAAAGGCCAAGAAAATCGAGTCTTGGTCAAAATTTGTGGGAAGCTCGGGAATACCTTATTCCTTCAAATGCAAAGATGAAAATCTGAGACAAATTGCACGAGCTCAAGCAACAGGGTGCACAGGCCAAGGCAGATGAGACGCAAACGTGGTGTTCGTGGGAGTGGCACAATCTTCTTTCGATCCGCATGATAGTGTTTTGTGCTGACACGTAAAGATGGTTAAGACACAGCAAATGGCCTGGATTTTTCAATGTTTCCAGTCCGTTTTCCTTTGGCTCAATATCTAGCTTTGCGGCTAGGCCTACTTCAGCTATACACCACATAAAAGGACCATACCTCAAGTGGAACTTGAAGTGAGCTCCATGAGCCTCATCAACTATGATTGGGATACCATGCTTGTGACACACCTTTGCGATCACCGCCACTGGGCTACACACTCCAAAGTAAGTTGGCGAGACAATCAGAACAGCTCCAATGCTCACGTATTTTCTTTTCTGCGGATCCAAGATGGCCAGCTCAATGCTTTCGGCAGAGAGACCGTGAGAAATCTCCCAGAGCTCGTAAGAAGGAAGAACATAGCGACGCATTGCTCCAGTAAGAACCATGGCTGAGAATGCTGAGACGTGGGCGTTCCTGGGGAGGATCAAAACATCTCCGGGATTGCAGCAGCTCATCACCGCCGCTTGAATTACACACGTAGAGCCGTTTACCAAGAACCACGAATAAAAAGCTCCACAGCCATTTGCTGCGTTTCGGAAATCGAAGAGGGCGCTCAGGAACCGCGCACGAACCACAAGAATATTCCGAGAATATTCCATAGCCTGTGGGATTTAAAGCCCTGACGCAATAAGGGTTGGGAGGTTGGCCTAGGGTTCATTCTCTTGTTCGTTTCATGGGAAGTGAAATGCAGCGACATGCTCCTCGCCAGTTCTCTTGAGAGCTTCAAGCAAAGGAGATGAGGGGAGCAGTAACGGAGGATGATTGTTGAGCACCGACGTCGGCATAGCCATCCACACCATGACTCGCTCAAGCACGAATACTTGATACACGATATTGTTTCAGGAATGCTAGACCCACAAATTTTCATCCAGCGACACAAAAGTCTCCAGCCAATTCGTCTCTTCCACAAAAATGTGGAGCAAACGCAGTCCCGACTGGTCTTAGTGCTTACTTCTACACTTACTTGATAGCCATGATCTCAGCAACCAGGTTCGATAATAAAATTTCATACCATTGACTTGAACCATTAGTAAATTTTGAATTTGCATTCACTGCGCAGCACCCTGGCGGAAGCCCTTCCCGGATTTGGGAGTTGCTGAATTGCTTCGCCTCTGTTCAAAGCCCCGGCCTCAACCTGGTGGGACATTATCCAGCGAGTGTGGAAACGGAGGCTCGAGAGTTCACTCTGGTGGCTGATCGCGCACACAACCCATTTTTTCTCTTCCAGTTGAACTTATTCAATCAGGTTTTCCCTTATTTCTTGCTCTTTTGTCGGCCCAGAAAGAAGTAGAAACAACAGATTCCTGGGCTGCTGTTAGCCACATCTTCCTATTCGACTCAACCGTCTTCAAGATCAAATAGCTCTGAAACATTTGACCAGTCAAAACAATTTGCACACTCCCGTTGCCCGGATCGTTTTTCAGTTTGACCATGATAAGGTACGTATGTTATGAAAGACGTAAGGGCCATTTCTCAAAATAAATATTGACTTGTACTTATTGCTGCAATACTTTAGCGTTGGAATCCTTGTTTGTGTCGCACTATCTTTTCTCTTAAAAGTACAAGTTGCAAGTTTATATTCGTGCTTTAGAGTGGTTTTCTCCTCGACCTAGACTTCAAGATCACCATCTCTACTCCATGGGGTGAAGACTCAAAGTGTTTGTCTCCCTGGGGTGTGAGAGGGAAAAGGAGCTGGAGGTATTGTGAGAGAGTTTGGTGCCTGGCTCTATTGGAACTCGGATTAGTACTTGGGGCTCTGGGTAAGGCCTTCAAATAAAAGAGACTCAACTACTGCCTCCATGTCCTTGCTCCAAACCCTAAATCAGCATAAAGTCCTCAACAGTGGAGTTCTCTTGCGCTGTAAGCTTCTAATAGTTTACTGTATTGTCAATGAAAACTTTTTAGATCTCATGCTGCCATCGCTGTACGTCCATGGAATGCTCCCGATGTTTGATGGGAAGTGGAATGCCACACTGGCTATACAACTTGGCCATCAAAACATAGGCTGCAGAATCACTCTCGTCCAGCTCCACCATCCTCTGGAATGCAGCCCTTCCATTCTCCAAATCCTTCCACTCAATGCAAGCGCATAACACCGTCTTCCACACCATTGAGTCGGCCTCCACCAGCATGCTCTCGGCCACAGCCACGCTCTCCTCCACAAGGTTTGCTCGTCCCAGTAGATCCACCACGCAGTTGTAGTGCTCCACGCCGGGAGCAATGCCGTAATCTCTTGCCATGGCCTCCAAGTAGCACTTGCCATCTTCCACCAGTCCTGAGTGGCTGCAAGCGCTGAGAAGCCACAGGAAAGTCGTGCCGTCAGGAGCTACCGATCGATCCTTCGTCATCCTCTCAAAAGTTTCAAGTACTGACTTGGAGTCCCCGCACTGGCTGTATCCCGCAAGAAGATTGTTCCAGATGATCACTGGAAGAACAAGGTGCTGCTGCCTCTGGATTGATGCAAAAACCTCCTCTGCCTCGGCCATGCTTCCACACTTCCCGTAAAAGACAATGAGTGCGTTGGCCAAAAGAACACAGTCGCTGGGCCCAGCCTCGCGAATGCTGGCATGAATCTTTCTCCCGACCTCGAACAATGCAAGTATCGTGCATGCCTTGAGTGCCGGCACGAAAGTTTGAGCGTTTGGTGCTGGATCTTCTTGCTGCTGCTGCAAGCGCTGGAAGAGCTCCAAAGCCGTGTGGCTCTCCCCGGCCTCGACGTAGCCACTGATGATCGCGTTCCACGATACTATACTTCGCTGCTGCATCCCTTCAAAAACCCATCTCGCCATATACATGCACTTGCACTTTGAGTACATGTCCACCAGAGTGTTGGCCACGAATATATCTGCCTCAAGACCCAGCTTTGCTGCTCGAGAGTGAAGTTCCATCCCTGTTTCCAGCCACCTCTGCTGCTGCTGCTGCTGCTGTCGTCCAGTAAGTTTCTTAGTCTTCTCTCCTTTGCTGGCAAGGCCTGAGCACGCACTTAAAGCCGCAATGAAAGCCCGAGAGTCCGGTTCCACACCTTCGTCTTGCATCCTCTGGAACAAATCCAGAGCCATCTTGCCTTCACCACCTTCCGCAAGCGCCATTATCATCGAAGTCCACAGCACCGAGCTTCGATGCCTCGTCACGAAAAAGACACGCTCAGCATCACCAAGGCTGCCACACTTCGCGTACATGTTGATAAGCGAAGTTGCCACAAACGAGTTGGAGTCATCACCAGATCTTCGAGCTCGAGAGTGAACAGCCATGCCTCTCTCCAAGCTCAAAACTTTCACCATCATTGTTCTATCGCCTGGAAAACCTGTTGGCTCTTCCTTCTCCGCCAGACTTGTGCAGGCCATGAGCGCTGGAAGATAAGCCTGAGCGTCAGTCGCGAAGCCTTCAGCTAGCATCGCTTCAAAGTACTTTAAGGAAATCTCGCCTTCATGGTTCTCCATATATCCCGAGACCATAGCAGTCCACGAAACTACACTATGCCTTTGCATGCTATCGAAGACCAGCCGCGCGTTGTCCATGCTTCCACATTTCGCGTACATGTCCACCAGCGTGTTTGCCACAAAAATGTTTGCACTGTGCCCGAGCTCCGCAAGCATAGCATGCAAAGTCATGCCTGTTTCCAGCCACCTGATTTTAAGATCTCGTCCTTGGAGTCTCTGGCTTTCCTCCTTGGCTGCAAGGCTTGAACAGGCCCTCAAGACAGCGACGATAGTTCTTGAGTCCGGTGCCAAGCTTTCCACCAGCAGCATGCGAGAGAAAACCTCCAAGGCCGCTTCATCTTCTTTGCTTTCCACGAATCCCAGAAGCAAGGCAGTCCACAGCACCGCGTCGCGTTCTCTCATCTTCTCAAAGACCCGACTAGCGTCCACCATGCTCCTGCACTTCGCATACAAGTTGATGAGGGTGCTCCCAACGAAGAGGTTTGCAGGGAGATTTCCTCCAAGTAGTTTGTGAAGTACCATGCCTCTTTCCAAACTGACCACCTTGACAAGTTTTCCCTGCAGAAGTTTTGCACTTTCTCTAGCTGCCAGACTCGTGCAGGCAATGGCTGCCGCGAGGAATGTCCGAGCATCCGGCTCACCACCTCTAGTGCGTTGCATGAGAGAAAAGAGCTCGAGAGCCACCTCGCCTTGATCGTTCTCTGCATATCCAAGGATCATTACGTTCCAAGACGACACACTGCGGTCTTGGATCCCGTCAAAAACCCGTCGAGCGTCTTCCAGAGATCCACACTTCACGTAAAAGTCGAGTAGCGTGCTTGCCAGAAACCGGTTAGACTCGAGGTCACTCCTGGAAAGCTCTGAGTGAAAAGCCATTGCTCTCTCCAGAGAGAACACTTTCACCATTTTTCCAGCCAGCTCCCTGCCGTCTTCTCCGGCTGCCAAGCCGGCGCAGGCACCAAGAACAGCCACGAAGGTTCTCGCGTCCGGCTGGAAGCCTTGATCCAGCATGGTGGAGAAAAGTTTCAGTGCCAAATCCTTTTCTCCACTCCGAGAATAAGCCTTGATGATCGCATTCCAGGACACCACGGTTCGCTGCTTCATGTCGTCGAAAACTCGCCGAGCTTCGACCAGGCTCCCAAATCTGGCGTACATGTCGATGGATGTGTTCGCCAGGAAAACGTTCCCATCTCGTCCACATTTGGCGAGCACCTGTTCAAGTTCCTCCTTACTGCTGCAAGACTTTAGCGTCGCGAGGAGCGCTGGAATGCTCCTTCGTATCGTGCTATCTTTTCTCTTCAAGTTGTCGTTGGAGTTGAATGCTCGTTGATCATTAAAGCTACAAGTTTCCCCGGGTTGCGAGTTTGTATTCCCGCATCTGCGACGCTCGGAGAGAGCATTGGAATTGTTTTCTCTCAACGATACATCTAGCAAAGAACAAGGAAACATGACTTAGAGAGCTCTGTCGAATTTAAAAGCCTTGGTTGAACGCACCTCTCAAGGAAATTCCATTGCCTGCCGAAGCTACCATGTAGTCCCTTCCATCGCTCCAGAATGCTATTGCTTATACGAACATTGGGATTTTCTTTGAATACCTCGAAGAAAAACCATTCTGGACGAGACTTGCTGATGGGAATCTTCTGATGGCAGTGGCAAAGAGAAGCTCCAGGAATCGCGAACAATCCAAACCCCAAAGAACCCTAGAATAATGCCTACATTTTTTCAAATCACTTGGCCAGGCGCTGTGACGATGGACGCACAACACGAATCAATCCATCGCAGAGCTCCACAGCTTGGACAGCTTTCTCTAAAGGTAAGCGGATTCAACTCTCGATTCGTACTCACAAACACAATGCGCGCAGCGAATTTCGTTTACTTTCTTAGAAAGCTGGTTTTCACCATGTCCAAAAGGACACAGGCTTACAAACTGGAAGATTTCGAAAGCTACGAATGTTACAATCCTGGCTGCGAGAACGAGTAGTCAGTATTTACAATGTGCTTCAACCATATTCGCTTTGTTAGACCGATCTCTGACATTCAATAAGCCCGCGAGTTCACTCCGTGGTGGATTAAAGATGGAGAAACCTCTCCCGCGGCATTGCGATTCTAAATTGTTTGCCGGGGGCCGGCCTCAATCGGCCAAGGAAGAAAAAATGAGTTTGTGTTCGAGATTTTCTTGCTCGCTCGCTCACTCGCTGCCTACGAATGAAGCAGGAAGGAGAACAACTGGTGGCTCGGGGAGAAATGCACGATACAGCACCCCCTCTCTCCCCCTTTTTCCGAGCAGAAAAATGATAAGTTCACTCAAAAAACTGAAAATTGCGCCACCATCTTAGCACAAATGTTTGGAGACCTACAAATTTTCATCCAGCGAATCAAGTCTCCGAAGCCACATCTTCCACAAAAATGGCGGAGGTGCTCGAGCACAAAGCATTCCACTGGATCTTCGGACTTCAAGAATTTTAGTGTTTTTAGTGTAAATCAATGCCGTCGTCATAAAAAAATCCATAAGTCTTTAGGAAAAAAAAAAACTAAAGAAACAAGGAAAGAACACGTACCTAAATAAATAGAAAGGGTCTGTCGTTAAAAAGAATGTTGGCAAAACTAAGAAAACATACCGGTGGTAACTCTGGAGGAGAAGTGACACCATCAGGCCTGTGTTGCTCCACGTACTTGCCAAAGTGAAGCAGAGACGCTTTGCTCGTTCTCGGTAGCCATGCCGCATGGGCGTTCTTCTCCTCGATCAGCTTGGACAACATAGCCTTTGCGTTTAGGAGGCGTGTTGTTGCATCATTCCAAGCACAACCACAAACATTACAGAACGTCACCCATTCTCGTAACGCTAGCCCTAGTTCCGCACAAGCATGCCGCGAACATCTGGAAGTTGGCCCAAGCTGACAATCCGAGGCCCACGACCCTTGCGGTATTGTCGCAGAGAAGGATCTGGTGCGAGCATCTAGATCGCTCTCATGCGAGTCGCGGTAGATTTCAGCGACCATCCTGATGCAGTCATAGACAAGGAACAGTTACGCTTCATCTTCATTTCGGAGTGCAGCGCATCAACCCAAGCTCTCGAAGTGGTACTGCAGCACATCACACCAGGTACCTGCCGACGAGTACCCCACACGCCACCTTTTTCTTCGCATCCAAGAAGAGTTCCTTGCCCGTATTGAAGCTCCGCCACAGACAGCATAACCCAGTTGACCTAAAATTTGAAGGATAATGCAGCTTTAACTCATACTGACGTGGCAGTTTAGCTAGCCGAAGAGCAACGTCCTTTCAAATCACTAGGGCTTTTGGCGATCGCGGTGGAGGCGCTGCGACGATGGGCGGACACGAATCAATCCGCGAGCTCCATCTCTTTTCGCGCTGAGCTCCACAGCCTGCAGAGCTTTCTCTAAAGGTACGCCGATCAAACTTTCGGTTCGCCATCGATTCGATTCCATCGCTCACAAGCACAATGCGCGCAGGGGAATTTCGTTTTCTCTCGTCGTCAAGAGCTCGAGAGAAGATCGTCTTTGCTAGTTCTCGGGGGCTTCTTTTTTCTTTTTCCGTTCGTTTATCCTGCCAAGTTAGCTGGTTTTCACCATGTCGAAGCCAAGGGGAAAAGCCATGTTTGATACAGGGAATCCTATGCTCAACAGTGTAGTGGATGGATTCATCAAAGTTGGCGGAGTAAGTATCGAAAAGCTTTCCTTTCTTTTTTTTCCGCCCGCTGTTCTAGTTTGAGACGAAGTGTTTGACAGAGAATTTTGGCAGGTTGGGGCAATTCAAGCAGCATCCAAGGAGTCATATCGGATTTTAGTCCATGGTATACATTGATTTTCTCTAGGAGAATGAAGCTTACTCTCCTTTATTCTTTCTTTTCTGGCCACTTTAAACTGACGATGTTCTTGACTTTGCAGACGATACGAACAGCAGAAGATCTGTTGAGAGAGCGGTATGTCAATTTGTCCATCATTTACTCAACCCGGAGGAAGAGGAGGAAACCACAGCTGTTACTTCCTCAACCTTTGTTTCGTTCGTTTAAGTTCTCTAAGACTCGTTTTTAGTTCCTTTTTTTTGTGCTTCAATGCTTTGTTCTTTGTATATTTTTCTTCGTTCTTGTGGCTTCAGTGATGCGGGATAGAAGTCGAGATGTCTTTCTCTCAAAGCATTGACAAAGCTTTTCCGGTTTTTGCAGGTCCAACGTATGGGCCGAGACTCGGTGAACTGGGGTACGTTTTCTAAGATTTTTCTCTTCGTTTAACTCCGTGACCACTTTGATCCGACCAGGTCTAGCTGCTGGCATGTACACTGGGGTTTCTTACGGGATCCAAGAAGCCAGAGGCGTCAATGACTGGGTAACTCTCAAGAAATCCTCGAAAACTTAAAAGCAGAGGTATAAAACGAGCTCTCGATGATTGTTTTGACGCTTTGTTTTCCAGAAAAACGCCGTTTTAGCAGGAGCTGTGACCGGAGCGGCCATAACTCTAGCCAATCCCAGACCTCGACAAGACCACGTCGTTCACAATATGATCACGGGAGGAGCCATCGCCACCGCAGCCGAGATTCTACGAAACTTATGCTGACACGGAGGAGGCGAGAGAAAAGGAGTGACAAAGTTTGACAATCCACGGGCATCACGATCGATCCACCACTCTGTTTCCAACTTGCCATCGTTCTTCCCGGCACTCTTAACATCATCTCGGAAGAACTTACGTGTTTTTCTAGCATCTAGCATGAGTTTTTTCTTTTCTAAAGGTGTTCTTCCAGGGAAACAAACTCTGAGAGGTTTTATTTCATAGCTTTCTAGAGCACAGGCTATGGAGCAAAGCCAAGCTTTCCTAGAGAGTTGGCTGCTCCACGAGACGGATGTAGGCCTTACCAGATGGAACTTTGACGGTGTCGAATCCTTTTGGAAACATCTCCTTGGCCTTCTCGTCCGAGATAGTGGGAAGAATCATACACTTCCTCCCATTCTCCCAGTTCGCGGGCGTGGCCACGCTAAACTTATCCGTGAGCTGCAGGGAATCGATCACGCGCACGAGCTCGCTAAAGTTCCTGCCCGTACTGGCCGGGTAGAGGATAGACAGCCGTACCCTCTTATCCGGGCCAATCACGAAGCACGCGCGACAAGTCAGCGGCATCCCCGCGGCATCCTTCTCCACGGGGTCGAGCATCCCGAATCGGACGGCCAGATCGCGGCTTGGGTCGGCGACGATAGGGTATTTCACCTTGGTCTCCGGGCAGTAGCTCTCGATGTCGCCCAGCCACTCGCGGTGGGAATTCACGTCATTGCAGCTGAGAGCAATCACCTTGACGCCGCGGCGATCGAATTCGTGGATGCGCGACGCCAGGGATCCCAGCTCCGACGTGCACACGGGCGTGAAATCGCTGGGGTGGGAGAGGAGAATCGCCCAGCTGCCGTCGATATACTCGTGGAATTTGATGGTTCCCATTGTGGATTCCGCCTTGAAATCCGGCACAATGTCGCCCAAATTCAGACCCATTTTCCCCTCCTCTCTCCTCTTTCTTCGAAGAACCCTAAATCTTTGCAGTGCCTTTGAGTGGCTTTTATATCCTAGCCACTCAAGTGGGACACGTGGGCGGTATGCACCGGGTAGGTGCCAATAACGGCTTTCCTGTGAAAGCGGGAATATGTACGAAAGTTCCGACGAATATTCCATACCTTTAAGACTTTACAAAAAGTTGTTTGTGAAGAGGTCACTGGCATTTACGCGGATTTGTTCTTCGCTGCTTCCATCTGATGTTAACAGATCACGGAGAGAGACGCTTACGCCCGGATTTGGATTTCGCGACTGGATTCTTGTGGTGAGCATTTTGTTGGCGGAGAGCCAGTCCAAGAATTTGGACCACTTGCCGCTCGCCATGGTCCCCCATTCGCCCGATGGATTGGCGAGAAAAGTCTTTGATAGAAACTCGAGGGACTCCATCACCATGTCCAAATCATCGAGGTGCTCGGGAGCTTGTGCCTGTCGCAGCGCGTTAAGAACCGTTTTTTGCTTACAACTTCAAGCTTACCAGAAGAGTTTTTGCCGAGGACTCGATGTTTGCTGTGCTGTAAGCGAATCCTTTTGCCGAAGCTCGTAAGAATCCCCTCACAACGTCTGGTTTCTCCCTGTTGGAAACATTAGGAAGAAAACGCAACGAGACGAAAGAGCTTACTCGAGAGTGTCCGGGTGAGCTATGACGACTGGAGAATAGCAGTAAGGAATCCTGATACATTGGATGGTGCTAATCAGTTGCAGGGTACTTCACAAAAGCCACAAACATACCCGTATTCCTCGAGGATAAACTCGTTTAGTTCGATGCCTTTGCGCTTCGCCAGCACACCCTCCCAAGCTCGAAAAATCCAAGTTGCGTCTGCCTTGTTTTGTAATAGAGTGTTCCAGATTCCCAACTTGTCGGGAGTAGCCTCCTCAAAATTCCCGGCACCACCATCGGCTTGGATAAGTTTCTGGACAATTCTGCCTTCAAATCTTGCTGCGTAGGACGCATAAACCTTTCCATCCAAATCTCTAGGCCGACACAATCCACTCTGTTTAAGAGTAGCTGCACAAACAGGGAAAGATTACAAACAAGATTTCGAAAAATCCAAGTACCAATTGCGCTGAGATCATCTTGAAGAACTGCCGCTACAGCGACGAGTTTGGACCTCGCTGGAGGTAAATGATAGCTTATTACAGTCTCGCTAGGTGCAAGCCCGAATGCTGCATAAACACTTCTTAGTTTCTGAAAGCACGAACCAGACCACTTACTTGCTTTTCGTGCAGAAACCTGAGAAGCTGGGGTCAGTTCGTAGTTGGAAACATGGGGACTTAGAAACTCCACGCAGATGCCTTCCTCCTTGTAGTAGCCCAACGCCTGTGCCACATAAAAGCCCACATGATTTGTGTTGGCCGTCCAGTCCAGCGCCAAAGAAACGCTTTGCAAGGTTCCTTCGGTGGCCATGGCTGGGAATTGCAAGAAGTAAAACTTCTTTTCAAGTAATAAGCTGATAAGTTAACAACGTTTCATTCATACCTGTCAATGGACGCTGTTGACAGCAAGAGTATGAGAACAATATGGACAAGTTCCATGAAGTACATTGAAGGACCTGACACCGCGCCGTTCGTCAAGAAACCGTAAGAGAACGCAATGCTTACTGTATAGTTGTGGGCAACAACCAATCAGCTAGACATATTGTGTGGAACGCTTGGCCACAGCTTGGATTGTTACAAACATGATCCGGTATGCCGTCCTCTGTGTAACATAACAATGCAGTAAAACAGCAGTTACCAACACGAGATTTTACCGTCTGGTAGTTTGTATGCGTAACATATTCCACATTCCGTTGACAGTCCTCCCAGTTGATGGGTTTCAGGAGGAGGAGGAATGGGAACTTGAAGAACGGTTTCTAGATTGTCAAGCAAGTTCTTGTCTTCTGTCCTGCAGGAAAAATATCATTTTTGTTAGAAGGATCGTAAGAAAGAAAATGTTTCAGAACCATATCATGCTACTCCCAATCAATCTTTGCCTCAGGGGCGAGACGACAGTTCCAGGGCCGAAAAAGCTGCACCTAGCAAAAGCAATTCTAAGCGTCATGTAAAAACTATCCTACCTTACTCTGGTAAAGAACGCGGAGTTGCTGGATTGATCTTGATTGATACTGAGCAGTGACCGCCTGTGAAAAAGAGAGTGTGAAATTTGAACACGTAAAAAAAAGACAAACCCAAATAAATTCGTCTGGAGATGTCAGCTCGAGAGAGCTGAACAGGTTCATGTACCCAAGCTCTTTTGTCAATGTCGTCCATCACGTTCCAAAAATCTTGATAGCTATCCACGGCCTGCATTTACATTGTTTAAAGATTAAAAGTTCCAAAAGGAAAAAAGAAGAAAGAAGTTACCAACTGGAACTGTGATAGAGCATCTCTCAAACTAGCACGGGAGGTCCATTCCACAGACCACGAAGATGGAAGGTCCTACAAAACGTTCCGGTAAAAACTAGTTGGCAGGATGGGTGCTTACAGCAGTAATACTGGGCTGCGACAATGGAAAATCTGGAGAGAAACTTAAACGTAGAGTGTGCACTCGATCTGCGCTGTCGCTGAAAGAGAGTACTTGATTAAGAAACGTAGAAGACAATTATCTTACATCACGCGAAGCCAGAGCTTAGAGAAGTCGTCACTAATGTAAGCAATGTTCTCCCATCCCATCTCATCGATCTGAACAAAATGAATCTAAAGTGTTTGGAAAGATAGAAGAAGAAGATGCTTACTTGAGTGTAGAGCTGCGAGGGCGATAACACTGGCTTGGATTGAGCATGCAAAATACATTCCTACAACCACAGTAAGTAAAGCCTTCGCTCGAGAAATCGAAGTAGAAAGCTTTACCATAACGTTTTTAACTTCCACACAAAACGCATCGATGTTCTTACTCTTCTGGAGCCTCTGCAAAAAAACTTTAGCATTGAAGAAAAAAGAGAGAAAATTCTTGCCACTCACATCCCAAAGAACTTCCTCAAAGCCTCGAAACATTGCGCGCATCGGGGCGCCACACTCGATCTTTGCGTTGGATAAGGGATTAGAGATAGGATCTACATCGTGGAGGGAAAACGAGAATTCTTGGTTCTGTGAAGGAAGAAATCGCCACTAGAAAGAAGAATCCGATTGATAGGGATACCTGGATTGAGAAGAAGACTTGAAATGCCGTGGCGCTGGTGCCAAGCGGCAGCACAGTGGGCGCCATTCTCCTCAAGAGCCCTAAGAATATGAAATTTTGGCGCCAATTTTCTAGGGCTCTAGTGGGATCGATGGAGAGAGAGCGATCCCGGCTAATCGCCTTGGCGTTGGATGTAGGCTTCGATCGGGATGTCGCGAATGCGGTTCTGGATCAGCTGATTAGTCTCTATGGTGAGTATCAAATGGATCTTTACTAGAATGCGGCTGGAATTCTGATCCTTGGGCATAGGGTACGAGGGCCGAGATTTCGTCACCGTGGAGCATTGCGGGGATGATTTTCTCGCGAGGCTGGCTGATAGCACGCAAGCTCACGAGGATTGGGAAACGAGTAGCCCTCTTGCTGCTCCCGAGGATGGGGACGATGCCTTTGAGCTCAAGGAGAATGTGGTGGCTGATAGCGAGAACGAGGAAGTGGAGAATTCGATGGTGAGAGATGTGAGTTCTTCCAGCTCCGAGGATGAGGACGACGATGTTATCATCATTGAGGCCGATGAAGAAACTCCCATTAAACCAAATGAGAAGCAAAGCTCGGCTCGAAAGAATCATCCTCCCAGCACTGCCGGAAGCGTAAGTTCTTTTTCCCTTTTCATTTTCTTCTATGTGAGATCTTCTCTTCTTCTTTCCTCAGGCGAAGAAAGCAAAGAAATTAGATGGGCGTATCTCATCCTTCTACTCGCCATCTCCTGGAACTCCCAGTTCTTCGGAGGACTCGGCTACGCGACGCCCAACTTACGAACATTTGCGTTTGTTGGATGACTTCGACCTTGCAAACACTGCCATCTTTTATCACAACAAGTTTAGGCCGTTCCAGCGCATGGGATGCGAGGCTGCGATGGCTGGGAAAGATCTCTTTATTTTGCTTCCAACGGGTGGAGGAAAGAGTCTGTGTTATCAGGTATGACTTTGTTTATTTTTCATGAGAAGCTACTCCTTCGCTTACACCATCCTATCAGCTTCCCGCAGTGATGTCTCCTGGAGTAACCGTCGTGGTGTCACCACTCTTGTCGCTCATTCAAGACCAGGTACTGGCACTCGTCGAGAAGTTTCGGATTCCTGCCGCATTTTTGAGCTCTCAATTATCGTCTTCTCAAGCAGCAGCTGTCATGCAGGAACTGAGGTAAGATGGCCGTGATAAGGATTATTCTTCTCGGTGCTTATCTTGATACCTTGCAGAAAACAGCGACCCTCTTGCAAGCTTCTGTATGTGACGCCTGAAAAGCTCGCCAAGAGCGCTTCCTTTCAGGACGTGTTGCACGGCCTGGACCGGCATGTAAGCTCTCCGAGTCATTTTCGTAGAAGCTTTAATGATCTTGTTACAATGCAGAGGTTGCTGGCTCGTTTTGTCATTGACGAAGCACACTGCGTGAGGTACCTTTACCGCTGTTCTTTTTCTTTATTTTTTTCTGTTTGCTGGAGACTTATGGTTTGTTTCTTTGCAGTCAATGGGGACACGACTTCAGACCGGATTATAAAGCCTTAGGAATTCTAAAGCAGCAATTTCCCCGAGTCCCTTTGATGGCACTAACAGCCACAGCAACACATAGTGTCCGAAAGGTACTTTTCAGTGTTCTTATCGTCCAGCAAACCATTTTTGTGCAGGATATACTTTCAATTCTTCGTATACCTCATGCGACAGTCATAGAGACGAGTTTCGATCGTCCCAACTTGAAATACAAGGTTGTGATCAAGGATCCGAAGGACCCGTTAGAGCAGCTTGGGAAGATTATAAAGGACGACTTTGCACGCCAGTGCGGAATAGTTTACTGCCTCTCCAAGAACGAGTGCAAGGACGTTTGCGACTACCTCAGCAACAAGTGCAAGATCAAGACAGCGTTCTATCACGCCGGCCTCAGCAACCGCGAGAGAGTTTTGGTCCAAAACAAGTGGCAGAAGAACGAAGTCCAAGTAATATGTGCCACCATTGCTTTCGGCATGGGGATCGACAAGGCGGACGTGGTAAGAAAATTTCGCTTTTTATTTGAGGAGAGGACCAACTAAAAGCTTCGTCATTTTTTTTTTCGTTCCAGCGATTTGTCATCCACAACACCATGTCTAAAGCCATCGAAGGCTACTACCAAGAATCCGGAAGAGCTGGACGCGATGGCTTGTCCTCGACGTGCCTCGTTCTATACCAGAAGAAGGATTTTAGCCGCATAGCGTGCATGCTGCGCAGCGGCTATGGCCGCTCCAAGGATTCCTTCAAGCGCGGAGTGGAACAAGGCCGCAAAATGCAAGAATACTGCGAAGAAAAGGTAAGATCTTTCCTTGAATTTGAGCGTTGTTCTAAAAGTTCTTCCATTTTGTAGAATCAGTGCCGAAGAAAGCTTCTTCTCGAGTACTTTGGCGAGAATTCCATGTCGCAGAACGGCTGTCCAACCGGTCCAAATCGTTGTGACAATTGCTCGAGACAAAGTTGAAAGAAAAGGTATTTACTTGATGTCAATAAATCAAGTAAGAAACCACAAGGGTAAAAAAGTGCGCTTTGTTTCAAAACATCTCCCGCGTCTTTTTGCCCTAAGATTATTCTCTTCGTTTCGTGGGCGATGAGCTAGGGCGCGATGAGCAGCGTCGTCTAGGGCCCGATGAGCAGCATCGTCTGTCCGGTGTGTTATGAGGATGCCAAGCCTGGAAGCGAGGATCTCCAAGCTATTGCTGGATGCGGACATGTGTTTCACGAGCTTTGGTATGTGATTCATTTCGCGCGATCAATCTATTCATTCCTTTCTTCTGATCCTCATTCTCTTCTCGTCAAGTCTCCAGCAATGGCTCGAGTATTGCCACAGGAAACCGTGCTGCCCGGTGTGTAAAGAATCTTGCCCAGCGAAACAGATCCATCGGCTATACTTTTTATCATCCGACCAACAAACCCAATCAGTTTCTCACTCGCAAAACAGCAGCGCAACCATTGACGCAGTAAGATCTCCACATTTTATTCTCCATGGTTTTGCTCGAATTCTTTACTTTCTTCTTTTCCTTGTAGGTGCTTGGGAAGCTGGAGTCTCAGCTCTCGGTAGCTAATGCAGCACTACAAGCGATCAAGCAAGAAAACAAGCATCTCGATGACGAGGTGGATTTTCCTTTTATCAAAAAGTGTTTTTTTACTGATAAATCTGTGTCACAGCTCGCCAATCTTAAGATCAAGCTTGAGAAATCAGAGTGTGTTCGACGGAAAGCTATGAGTGACCTTGACATCTGCAGAGAATCCTCGTCAAGGCTCCAGGAGGTATATTCAAACTTTTTTAGACGTTCAGCATGAGCCTGTGTGTTCTTCCTGTAGGAAGTGAATAGGAGTTTAGAGGACCGCACGAAGCTGATTGAGAAGAACACATCGTTAGCAAAAGAGCTTGCTTCCATGAAGATGTAAGTAGTGCCTTGTATTTGCAGTGTTTTAAACCGTCATTGTCACAGGGTAGCAGACATTTCCTTGGACGAGGATGAAATCTTGCGGCTTGCAAATGTAGGCCAAGCAAAGAACAAGGATAATATTATTGACACGCTCACAAGATCCCTTGTCATTCGTAACAAGTATGTTTCTATGTTCTTCTTGACGCGACCAATCCTTCCAAGCCGTCTGTATTCAGGAGTTACAGAGACTTGGTGAACAAGTGCAGCTCTTTGGGAATGAACGAGACAGTTGCTATTCAAAAAGCTAACAAAGCATCTGAGCAACTCAGAATTCTAAAGGTATGCACAGCTTTGATCCATGTTTTTTCTCTACTTATCGAATCCAGGCTCGCGTCCAAGAGCTAGAAAAAGCTCTAGAGGTTAAAGAAAACAAGGAGCTTCGAGACCTGAAGAGGAAGATCGAACAAAGTAATACGAACTTTGTAGCTGAAAAAAAGATGGCTTCCACAACTGCGGAACATGAGGACAAAGTCAGGCATGAAACCGCTACTGAGGATGGCTGCTTTGTGCCTAAGCCTACAAATCTCTGCTCTGATAAAGCTCTACAAATCTCCATAAGGCGCGACGCTCCAATATGTAGCCCGATTCTTCCAGGTAAATCACTGAAACGTCTCACTTCCTCACCAGCAGCACCATGAGTCGCAGGCGACTTGGCGAAAAACCAAGAGCAAGTCTGTGCGCAAGACTCGTCGACCAGAAAGAGAGTGTACGCCGCAACGAGCGGGACGAGCTCTCCTCGAGGATTTACACCGTCCAGCAGTGACAAGGGAAGCTTCATACTCCGCGGTGCAGATGGCCGTGGTGGAAGAGTGACGATCTTGAAGCCTCCGGTAAGTCCGATCACTTTAGTCTCAGTGTCTAAGTCCATATATGTTTCCAAATTCCAGGGAATCAAAGCAAGCGCGCATAAACAATCCAAGCGTGCCAAGAATCACCGCAGCAACGAAGGATTGCACATAGAACACTTCTTCGGGCGAGCAGAATAGAGTATGGTTGCATTACATAGTATATATTTTGCGGTATATTGCATTTTGCAGCAATGTATAATACCATAGTTCTCCGTCACGGAGCTTCCAGGAGCATCTTGCCAGTGTCAAACTCCAGAAGCGGCTGCTGCTCCAGCCAAGACTCATCGAACTCGATGTTGTTATCCGGGATCGCGAAGAGCTCCTCCAGAAACGCATCGTCCAGTGTAAACGTTTGCTCGTCACCTTCCAAGCTTCTGGATTGCGGCTGCTTGGCATCGATATCACTTCCCACAAACTCTCCTTGCACAGCTTGAATTGCATCCTCGAAATCACCATCTGCGGAGCTCAACGAAGGCGAGGATACCAGAGGTGGTGGCGAATCCTTGTTCAAGGTTAACTCCTCTGGCTCTTGAGACTTGGGACGATCCTCCGCCAACTTATGGGTAGTGTCACCTTGTAACGATTGGATGAAGGGCTTCATCTGGGGTGGCAGAGTTTCGAAATTGAGGCCGGCGATAGTGTCGAGGGCGTATTTCTTGCCCGTGTCCGGAGAGATAGCCGATACGTTGAGTATTGTACGTGTGAGCACATGTAGTTCCCATATTTTCTTTGTGATGCCGAAAATTCTCTTGCGGAAACAACTTTTTCTTGTTTCCGGGTCCTGGATGTATTTGAGTGGGATTTTCTTCTTTCCGGCTGTTTTTTTCTACAACATAAATCAAAGAAGGAAAATTGAAGAACTATACATGGAACAATCATACAAATACAAATACCTTGATTGATGGCGACATCCTATTGGGGGGACAATCCCTTAAATTGTCTCCCCATGGGGGGGACAACAACTTAAATATTATATCTTACCCTTAAATCAGAAATAATATTTTATTAAGTGTACGATCTGCTAATTCCAGCGACAGCGTCCAATTTGATGATACAAGTGTATCCCTAAATTAATCACGAAAGCATCTTCACATGATATCTCTAAGAAATGTACTCGTGTGGAATTCCACCCTCAAAGCGTATCCGGAGCGCAGTCTCTTAGAAGAAAGCTCACAACTATTTGGGAAAGCTCCGGGTATCTATCTCCATATCTAAATCAAAAGCTTTTGATAAATGAAATGGTTCCATGTGTCCACAGCCCCTGGTAAGCACCAGTGCAAGCAGTCATTTCTCCGTGGCTTACCTGGTTCCTGTGTCTTGAAGAAATTTGGATGCCCATCCGGCCTCATGAATGCGCTGTAAGTGACGTCCAAAACATCAAACCTACTAGCATTCGCCAGCCCCGCCACCTTTCCTCTCTCTACCTCCGCCACCTTTGCTCTCTCCACCTCCTCCCTCTGGATCCTGTTCATCCCGCTGCTCATGAAGGGCAGCCGTACGCTCCCGGGGGAGTATGGCACGGTACGGTTGCACACCCCGCCGGCGTACCACGCCCCGTGCTCGAAGTGATCGACCGTCACCGTCCTCGCGATGGTAACACCGCGGAACTCCCGCAGCAGGTAGCCCAGGACGCTGCGGTACGCTAGCCGGTAGGCCTCTAGCTGGTCGACCTTAGTGACACCATCGCCAGCAGCATTGCATGGGTTGCAACCAAGAACTTTGGAGGAGTTGTAGTAGACGCTGGGGCGGTAGTACCAGTATCCCGTGGAGATCACCGCAACGTCGTACTGGAGGACCTTGGAGGCCCAGATATCGTCCGGGGTGTCGAGGAAGACGCGGTAGGGATCGCTAGGAGATGTTCCAGGCGAGAACTTGACGAGGAACGGTGACCAGATGTGCGTGAGCGTGAAGTTGTGGCGGTCGAATCCCCACCGCATCTCCTTGTCCGACTCCTCGAAGAAGATGATCTGGGGTCTCTCGAGCTTGTGGGGCTCTTCCACCTAGACGAGAAAGTTTCCAAAAGTTTCTAGGAGCTCTTTGCTTGGAACTTGGAGGCTTACTTGGGCGAGCGCGCAGAGGAGAGATTGCATATGGTTTCTGGCCATGGAGTCGCCGATGAAGATCATCTTTTTGTTTGTCATGCGGCGAAGGAAGTCGCGGGGATCCAGAGGTGGTAGCTCGCAATCGTCGGGCTTCCACCTCCAGTTGAGGTACGTCAGGTCGGGCCTTCCATTTTTCACGCAGTTTTGGTTCGGCTGGATGAACTTGCACGTCTCGTTGGTGTAGAGCGGAGGTGTTGAATCGGGCACCCAGTTACCCTTTGAAAGATCACACTTTTCTCCTGAAAAAAAAAACAAGAAAGATAAAAGGAGAAAAAAAGGCAAAAAGTTCGAAAAAAGCTACCTGAGCTTGATGGTGGATTGCTGGATCTCTCCTCTAAAAAAAAATCGAATATAAGCTAAGCATCGACCAATCCAAGTTGAGAATTTACCTGTGGTGTCCGTGGCTTGGTCATGTTTCTCTGAAATCATCCAGTTATAAAACGGGAAGTGATTGATTCCATAACTTTACCTGATCCTGGAACATAGATCCAATCAGGAAACCAGATAAAAGAAGAAGTAAAAATACCTGAAGGAGAAGGAGATGGAGCATCACCGGTTGTCTCCTTTGCATTGCTGGGTGTGTCTAGAGAACCAAACTCTCAGATCCAAAGAGAAAGACTTGCAAAACCACTAAAATGAGGGTAAATTTTAGCCAAACCTGACAATGAGTCCCGGATCCTGCTGTTGATGGCGGCGAGCTCCGCCTCAAAATCCTGCCCTGGAAGGAAAGACAAGTAAACGAACCACAGATTGAGCAGCGTGAAGACGATCACTATGATCGATGTAACAGCGGCGTTCGCCATAGCTTCATGGTGTTTCTAGAAATCCAGACAGAAAAACCAGGCAGGAAAGAAGGGATCTCCAATCGACTGGATGGAGGGATTCAAAGCCTCCAGCCGGGAAGTAGCTCTCCAATCGGCATCACCGCAACTATTCCTTGTGCTTGTCACTACGTGCTTACGGGAGAGAGAGCAAGAGAAAAAGCATCTTTCCGAAAAGAAATAAACATACCTTCCAGTCACGAAGACACGCTGTGTGATACTTGGTGGGGCGTTTAAGTCCGCGGGATTGTCAATCTCAAAGTGGTCCTGTGCTGTCACAAAGAACAAGGGAACTAATAATCAACCGAGACCCACTGGAACTTTTGGTGGAGCAATCCTTGTCGTGGAGCATTCCTGTTTGAAGACACGATCAAAGAAACCAATTCAAAACAAACACTGGTTGCAAGAAAAAATGGTGAAAGTTTGCTCGATCAGTAACACTGGAGGTAAAAGAAAAGTTTTCTGGATCGACCGTGAAAACGTTTCGATCTTATGCTTACTACCGGACTGTTAGCTTCGGAGCCGGAGAACAGCTCGAGCTCGAGCTGGAAGAATCGTACCGAAAAACCAAAAGAAAAAAAGAAAACCAAAGAATAGATCGATCGAGATTCGAGATCGATCACTTCATCCTCCTCGAACCTTGTGAAACTGTCTCAACTTGGAGTCCCCCATCTCGCTCTTCCTCCGCGTCTCGATCAGCAAGTGGAAGAGAAGCTGGTTCCACGTATCGATCGGGCCGGGCAAGCACCAGTGCAAGCAATCGTTCTGCGGCCTCTCGCCCGGCGGCTGGACGCGAAAGGTGTTTGGATGCCCGTCGGGCCTCAAGAACGAGCTCCAAGTCACATTCAACACCGCCATCTTCTTCTTCCCACTTTGATCCTCCCGCAACACTCGCTCAAACTCCTCCACCTGGATGTGGTTCATCTCGTTGCTCATCCACGGCAGCTCCAAGCCGGCTGCCTGATCGAACGGGATCGTCCGGTTGCACAGCCCCCCCGTGTTCCAGGAGCCGTGCTCGAAGTGATCCACCGTGATCGTCCGGAGAACCGTGACCCCCCGGAAGTTGGCGGCCATGAATTCGAGCATGTTGCGGTGCGCGAGCCTGTAGGCCGGGAGGACCTCGAAGATGGGCAAGTTGAGGTGCGACCGAGGATTGCATCCCAGGATGGTGTTGTTGGAGTAGTAGACGCTGGGGCGGAAGAACCAGTAGCCGGACGAGAGGATCGCGACGTCGTATTCGTGGAGCTGCGTCTCCCACACGCTCTCCGGGACGTCGAGATGGATGTGGTAGATCTCGTCCACGAACTCGTGCTGCGCGAGGAACGGCGACCAGAGGTGGCCCAGCGTGAAGTTGTGCGATCGAAACCCCCATTTCATGATCTTGTCATCGGTGTCAAAGAAGATCTTCTCGGGCTCCTCCACCTGTTGTTCATCGTCAACCTTTAGAGCTCCACCGGAGAAGTTCTAAGAGATTGTTAGAGATTTACCTGGGCGAGAGCGCACAGCAAGGATTGCATGTGGTTGCGAGCGATGGAATCGCCGATAAACACCATCTTCTTGCCGCGCATGGAGTCGAGAAACTTGGCTGGATCCAAGCTCTCCAGCTCGCAGCCGTCGGGCTTCCACCGCCAATCCAAGTACCCTCGATCGGGCCTCCCATTCATCATACAGTTCTGCGAGGGCTGGATGAACGCGCACGTCTCGTTCGTGTACAGTGGCGTCCGGCTCGAATCGGGAATCCATTTTCCCACAGAGATGTCACACTCTTAGAAAGAAAGAAAGATAATCGATCAGATGGGTCCAGGATCCTGGGACCGATTCCCAAAACCGAGTACCTGGGCTCGCGATTTCCTCTATTGGGTCACTGGAACTGCCATTCCCTCCCGGTAATTCGCACCCCTCGCATTGCTGATCGACCGATGGGGACGAAGAACCAATACCTGGAGCTGGAGAATTGTCGATTTCTCGTGGTGGGTCGCTCGAGTTCACGGTGGCGGGGGCGCTCCGGGCAGCGCCAGCGCCAGCGGCAGGAGAGAGGTCGATTTCGTGCCTGGCACCAATGTCAGGCGCAGTGGTAAACGCGCCATCTTCGCTTCCTGGCCAACGAACAAAGGAGGAGAAGGAGAAGAACCAGCAATTAGCGAAGAGGGCGATGGCGGCCACCGTTGCAAACGCCAGTGCCGTTCGCCCACCGCCCATCGCCGCCTCCTTTCTCATGGCCTTGGAGGACCGCTTGCCGCATCTCTCTGGGTGGTCACTGCCGAGCCATGCCAAACAAAACGGCGACCATTTCAACCCCTCTTTTCTTCCAGGGTACATAAAGCTGGTCATGTTCTTGCGGCTGGGATACAAAAGCATAAATGCAAAAGCAAAGCAACGCGCAAGAGAGAGATCTTTCTCTTCTTTCGAGGCAAAAGAGCTCTCTCTCTCTCTCTCGATCGGCGCTTCCTGCACACGGCGACATTCCCTTTTGTTTTGCGATGATCGCGCCCGGTTCGTTACGTCGGGTGGAATGGAATAGGCGCGCCTGCCATGCTTCGTCTTGACGAACAATCAACTCCCAGCGATTCCCCTGTTTTTAGGGCACCCAGAAATTTAGGTCAAAATCAGGAATTTAAATTTCGAGATTCGCGCTATAGTTAACGTGCACGGCCACGCAAGCTTTCTTTCCGCGCCACGTGCTTGGGCCAGGGCATGGGCCACTGGCCAAAACCCGCGTGGCGGTACGGCTATTGGATAAACCCAAGCCCGCATCGTCACCGTTTCAACCGACGGCTGCGATGGCGCCACATTGCGATATATTAGCGCGTTTTGGCCCATGCATTGAAAGGGTCCGCTTCTTCTTTCGCTGCTCTCTTTGGGTTCTCCGGCTATGGGACTTCTCGACAAGCTGTGGGACGATGTAGTCGCGGGGCCAAAACCATCCGAGGGCCTCGGCAAGCTGAGGAGGAAGAGCAATCCAGGTGAGCGATCGATCTTTCCCTGCTTTTCGCTTTCTTCGGGCGGATTTTGCTGGATTTCCTTGCTCTTGCTTGTGTTTTAGCTGATCTTGTGATGGATCGGTCGATATTCCAGCGGGTGAGAACGGCGATCGGCGATTCCAGCAGCGGAGCAAGAGCATCGCTGTTCCTAGGCGGCCGCCGGCCTTGAATGTCGAGTGCGAGGCCTCGTCGCCCTCTTCGTCGTCGCTGCCGTCGACGCCGCTGGGATCGAGCCCTCTAAATTCCCCCTCGCCTGTGCCATCTCCGGGTATGAACTTCTCTATCGATAATCTCTAGCAGTGTCTTGAAATTCTCTCTTTGCTATCGTCTTTAGATTTCCCCCTTCTTTGTCAGTGTCTTCTACATTCGATTTGTTCTTTAGTTTTGCGTTTTGCTAGTTCTAGATTTTGCTATCTTCACAAATTGGCTCTCTAGGCCTAGTTCTAGATTTTGCTATCGTTTCTTCGCTAACGCTTGGATCTTTCTCATCTTTCCAGCCTCGAGAATGCGGCACAGTCTGTTTCGTCAATGCAACAATAGTTTCACGACCCAATCCGATCTGTAAGTTCCTTTCCGCTGCCGAATTTTCCTACCAAAGTTTTGGTGACATCTTCTCACGGAGAGAATCGACTTTTTTGGCAGGATGGTCATTAGTGCGCTGGACAAGTGATCGATCGTTACGATCTACACTTGGAAGATATGTAAGATCCCTGGTGCGTAACGCGGCCTGGTCCTGCGCGGTGGCTCTGCGTCCAAAGCCATCGATGACGATGAAGATGATGATGAAAAATAGTGTAAAGTTTTGTATCAAAGTACCTTGTGTGGTCCTGGGACTCGAATCCCGCCCTTCTAAGCAAAAGAAGTGTTTGTGTGGTTTCGTTCTTATCGCGAAGCTTTGTATTACTCGGTCTCCGCGTTTGTGGTGTCATTCTTATCTGTAACTTATCTACGCGTTTGAGAACTCCTGCAAAGAACTTTGTAGCAAAGGAGGTGGCGAAAGAGAACTTTCGTACCATTCAGTCGCAAGACAATCGTGATTCTTGAAGAAAGCCATTGATCCACGCAAAATCCTGGGAAGCGAATAAAGAATAACACACACACAAAAAAAAAAGTGTGGTCAAATGTACCTCGTTCACGCAATCTCGCTCGAGCGTTTCCAGGCTCCACCATATCCATTTTGTTGTCCCTTCTAGAGCTTTCCACGAGCTTCCTCTGAGCAAGCGGGACTTTCCCGTGATTCGGCCGGACAACAAAGAAGAAACCCGAGAGCTTTTGGGTGGTGCGTCGCATCGGATCAAGCTCTCCTGGGAAAAACTGACTTTCAGTGAAGCTGCTTGATCAAAGGCCTTTCCGGAAGTCGAGAGAGTATCCCTATCGTCTCCTCGTCGGCTTCCACCCCGTCAGCTTCCAATCTCTCCATGAATCCAGCCACAGGCTCCCTCGCCACCTCGTACGCCCTGAGCAGCGCGTTGAACAGCCTCACGTCCGTCTTCCACTTCTCCAGCCTCCAGTTCCGGAAGAGAGTTTCGCAAGCCACAACTTCGCCTCGCTCTGCCAACGCCAGCATCATCATCCGGCACGTCCCAACCCACGGCTTTATGTCCTTTCTCGGCTCGGTCGACATGAACTTCCGTTCCTGCGGGGAGAGCTCGAACGGGACCCGGAACACCTGCCTTTCCAGCTGAAACAAATCCAGGGCCCTTTGGATGTTGTCGTTCTTGAGATGAATCGCAATCAGGTGGTGATACGTCGCTGGATCCGGCTTAAATCCCATCTGATGGATCTTTCTCAGTAACGACTCGGCCCGCAGCACAAAGTTTCCGGCCTGACAAACTTGCAGCATCACGTTGCACACAGTTATGTGCATCTTTCTCTGGGCCGCGAGAGCGAGAAATCCCGACTCTGCCTGTTCAAACAGCCCAACCTTTGCCGAGCTCCTGATCATGCAGATGTAGTCCTCGGCAGTGGGATCCATCCTGCTCGTAATGTCCCAGATCCTCTTCACCCCTTCCACGTCGCCGATAAACCCGTAGATAACGATGATCACGTTGTAAGTCCTTCGCAGCCTGTTAAACTTCCCGGTTTCCATGCCGTCCTCCACCACCATCAGCATCTCCTTGGCCTTGTCCACCATCCCGGCCCGCCCGTAGGAACTAGCAAGCATGCAGTACGTGTGCTCGTCCAGAAAGTTCTTAGACTCCATCATTTCGACGAGGCTCTCCATCTCGGCCACACCCCCGGCTCTGAAAGTCATCGGCAGCAAAATGTTGAAGGAGCACATATTGAGAGACTGGCCAGCCTCCTCGGCGTCTCGGATGAGCTCGGCCACCTTCCAGAAAACTTGGTGCTTCTGGTAAAGAGTGAGCATCATGTTGATCGGTGAGATAGAACGCAATCCCCACCTCTTGAGCGTCGTGTAGATCGATTCCGCGTCGGCAGCCATGCTGTGCCTCACGTACATGGAAAGAAGAACCGTGTAGCCCTCTCGGGATTTCCAGTCGGCCGGGAGATTGTCAAACATTTCCCTTGCTCGCGTCACACTCACTCTGGAAACCAAGTCGATGTGGTTGAGAGCTTCCTTGTGGTCGTATGGGATCACTCTCTTCTTGTAAGCTATCCAATCCGATATCTGGAAGAGAAAGGGAGAACTTTAGATCACAGGGATCCCTGGAAGAAATTGCGACTCACCCGGAGAGCGTGATGGAATCGCTTGCGCCTGCGCAGCTTGTGGCGGACGATAATCAGTCCATACCTGGTGATCTCGTTGCCCTCCGCCATCCATTCCTCGACGATCGGCACCACCAGGTGATCCTGGCACCACTTGAGCCTCGAAATCCTCCTGGCGAGCTCCGCGTGCGCGACTGTCTCCGGCGTCACGCCGCAGGGATTCTTCCTCGTGATGTAATCCACCAGCGGCGGCCCATCGAAATGGCCGCTATCCCATCCCAGCGCCGTGGACATCGCTCGCCGCCCTAGGAGCTGGAGCTGGAGCCGGCATTCTCGTAACGCATTCCAGGCAGCCATAGCTAGGGCAATACATTGGGAATATCCTTGACAGAGATCTGGGCCGTTGATTTTGAGCTGGCAAAAATGGCGGGACTGTTTTTAGGGTTTATTGTGACGTGGTGAAGGGGCGTTTCCTCGGCGATGGCTGTTCTTCGGGGAGATTGGATGAATTGGCGAAGGGGCGAGTGACGAGCTTGTGTAAGTTTCGTCATTCCTCTGCGTTTTTTGCCGAATCGAAATCGGCGCTGTGTTCTTGCAGGCTTCTTTTTCATGAGCGGATGAAGCATGGGGCGATCAACGAGCTCCAAGGCCAGCAAAGACAATGACGGCGGCGAGAAGATTAGCATCACGGACCAAGTCCGGCTCTACGGCATCTACATGTATGTGGATTTTGTTTTTGTTTTTCGCTTTCGTGTGGAGGGGATAATTTTTTCGAAGAAATCAATGAAGTGAAGAGCAGAAGGTTGCATTGGAAGATGCGAGAAAACTTATCGAGAAGCTCCAAAGGGACTTTAACCAGCTTCGACTGGAACGAGATATCATCCAACAAGAAGCTGTAAGTTCTCCTTTTCTTCCAAGGTTTGTGAATTTCTCATTGTTCTGCTCTTCGTTCTAGTTTGCGTCCACGGAGTTTTACGAGCATGATATAAAGCAGAAGAAAGAACTAATCCAGGAGTTGGAAACTAAGCTAGAAAATGTAAGCGTTCTAAAGCTGTTTCATGATCGGTATCTTCTCGTTTCTTTTGCAGAAAGAGAACGAGAATGTATCCATAAAGAAGCAGTGGCAAGACGAGCTCGCGGCTACTCTTACTGCTGCCAAGATGGAGAAGGCCGAGCTCATCAATCACATTGGCAAGATCGAAAAAGAGCTCTACACCTTGCAGCACTTTTCGGAGAAAAAGGTAGATTATGGCTTTCATTTCGGAATATCTGACTTTGCAAGTTTTGGATTTCAGGCACAACTTGAAGCCAAGCTTGCCGCCGCAGATGCCGAGAATGTCCAGCTCGTAGAGAAGCACGGCAACGAGTTAGCGGAGCTCGAAAGAAAATACATAGAGCAAGTAAGTATCGGCTACCACCGTCGTCATAAACTCCTTGCCTTTTCCAGGGAATCAACATGAAAAAAGACTTTGAGAAGAGCCTGGATGAAATCCACAGGAAGCTAAACTCCGAGATCGAGGACCGCGTCGGGCAACGAGTGAGAGACATCCTTGCCGAGGTACGTGATTTGTTTTTCCGGAGGAAGTACAAAGAGTTTTGTGTATGAAGGTGGCAGAATGAACGACTTGGCAACGAAATCCGGATGCACGTCGAGATAACCGGCAATCTCCAGAGGGAAATTGATATCATCCAGGCGGATGCCGCTGGAGTGACACGAGACATCGATTTGCTGCGGGAGGCCGACGGGCTTCATATGCAAAGGAGCAGCACACAGGCCCGAGTTATCGCCGAAAGCAACTCAAGAGTACACGCCATTATCACTAAGATCCTCTCCTTCGTTCTTACAGCTTTTATTCCAGCTAGTGAGGCTCGAGCAAAGCATTGGCAATGTCGTTCGTCAGTATGGATCCGAGAGACGCGCCTTGGAGGACGAGCATCTCAAAAGCATCGCGGACTTCCAGCTTGAGAAACAGGCAAGAGAAACCTCTCATCGTTCTCGCGTTTCTCACAAAAGTTTTTGCTTGATCTCGCAGACAATGCGGCGGATCCTCCAGACGAAAGCCAAGGAGCTCCGGCGCGTGAGGCAGCTCGCCCAGCAAGTCCTCCGCGAGCGCGGCGAGGTGGAGTCGTTCCTCATCGAGTCGCTCCACACGGTGGTGGAGGAGATCAAAAAGTCCAAGAAGCAGCAAACGCCGCCAATCCTCACCAAAGCCATGCTGCGCGCGTGCAGCGAGCAGAAGAAACCCGACGCCTCCTCCAAGCCGGCCACGTCCTCGTCGCCGCCATCGCCAAGCTCGCAAAAGTCGTCCTCGGCCCGGTCAGCGCAGTCGGCAAAGTCGGCGCAGTCAGCGAAGTCAGCGCAGTCGGCCAAGTCAGCGCACTCGGTTGACTCCGCCGCCGCCAAGCCCAAGCCCAACCGCGCGGTCAACAAGCTGGTCAAGTCGAAGTCGCAGCTGGAGGGGGAGACGCAGCTGGACGTGATGGGGCAGATGGAGGAGGTGCCGGTGCGGCTGGAGGCGGCGGTGGACGTGTCGCAGCTCAGCTGGGGCGACAAGGAGAAGGTCCTGCGCTACCTGTTTGCCAAGATCAACAGCGCGCACCAGATCCCCGGCAGCGTCGTCATGAGCCAGGCGCGCTACCCCGAGCTCTTCGACGACGACGACGACGCCGAGGAGCAGCACCTGTTTGGATCCGTCAGCGACGCGGGCAGGGTCCTCGTTTGAAACAATGCGGAGCTTGGAAATTAGGGTTGTGTCCGTATCAGTTTCGTATAATGAGGAATAGAACGTTCAAGAGTAGCACGTTAGTCATGCTCAACACGCTTGTGAATGAACGGCAGATGGAAAGCACCCTTGGTTGACCAGAGCAAAAGCAGCACCTATTCATGTGATCGAAAAAGATGGCATTGACGTTCTTCTGTCCAGGAGCGAGAGAAAGGAAAAGCACTTTTGTGCTGGCTCGTCTCTCCGCTACCAATCCATGTTTATTTCTCCCGCTCCAAACAATTTTGGTGCCAGCGGCAGCCAGGAGGAATTTAATGGCGCTCGCATCGGATCGATACTTTCGTCTCCACCAGCAACAGTCTTTCAATGTCCCTGCTGCTCTGGTCCCTGCAAGTGCAAGCCATACCATATTCATCCAAAGAGATCTCGTCGCTCTTTTCCTTGTCTCTGATCGCGATTTTTTTAAGGCTGCTGCTGCTGCCACATTTCGTGATGATCGAGCAGCAGCCTCCACGACTGCTGTTGATCTGGCTGGCCCGATTCAGTAGCTATAATCTGGTGGGAGAGCTTTAACTCGCGACCAACACATCTTTCTTAGTCACAAAACCATTCACAATATACCACTCCTCTGTACACGCAGCGCTAAAATGCTGCTGCGTTTCTTGGCTTTTCCTTCGTCAGGGCTCCTGGAAAAATCGAGGCTTTGATCGATCAGAGCCAAAAAGCGAAACGATGTCACACCTTGCGAGTTGCACAGCGTCCAGTTGGCAAGCTTTCCACTCAGTTCTTCACGGGATGATAGACAAGCTTGGACGATTCCAAAGGCGACTTTCGTCGGGGCTGGACGGCACACCTTACGGCCTTGAACACGAACATTTGCTACAAAACCAAGCCATTAGCCACAGTTGCAAAACCAAAGACGTTTGTTACCAGGAGCCTCGAGCTTCTCCGTATTCGCGTCACCACCCACCTCCTCTGCCCGGACGAGCTAGCGCTTCGCATCAATCGAAACCGAGATGGAGCGAGCCTCGGCGACGCACAGCCGCAGGACATTGCTCCTCCAGCCGCAGCTGACTCCTCAAAACCCAAAGCCCTATCTTGATCGATCTCACCGGAGCCGAGCTTGAGCACCTTGTCCGATTCAACATCGCCCTCCTCGTCCGCGCGCTGGAGCAACACAATTTGCCCGCTGCTTGGCACCGAGGCCGACTCATCCTTGGCGCTCTCCGAACCTTCAATGCTGTGGAAGTACGCAGCGAGCGTCGGAGCCCACATCTCCACATCCTGGCTACCACGGAACTTCTCGCGCTTGGATCGCAGCCAATCGGGATGGAGAATTCTCTCGATCGATCGGGTAATAGAGACCTTAACGCTGCTACGGCCACCCTTGAAACAATCCTCTATCACCGCTGCTGGATTCGCCACACTGGTAGTAGTCCCCGACTCGGCGTCCGAGACCACCGCCGAGTCGGAGATGGTGTCCGAGGATGAAGCGCTGCACGACGCGCTGCTCTGGTCGGGGCCGCACAGTATGCTCGTCGGAGAGCTTGGGTCGACCGTCTTACCGTCGGCGGTACCGTGTTGGACGGCTGGAGAGCTCGAGTTACCGTCCGCGGCAAGCGAGACCGCTGCTAACAGCAATCCTTGCCTGTGATTGACGGACTGCGCTCGGCGCTGGGAGAAGTTCGAGGAGATCGCGGATTTGTGGAGAGTGGCGCTGCGGCTGAGACGAGGAGGGAGCTGGAGGGTTGGATCCGGCTTCTCCAACGAGGGCTTGGGCTTGCCTGGCGCTTCCTCCCACTTGAATGGCACCGAAGCCGAGCACTTGAAAGACGATTCCCCCTGTTCCTCCCGAGCTGCCGCTCGATTGGCAAGGAGAAATTTCGGACCCGGAGAACCGACGAGATCGTAGCGGCGGGAATCGAAGCTCTGGGAGCGCTGATCGTCGATGTTGAGATTGCTGTGGTGGCGGCTGGAGGGATTTCCAGCTGCTGCCAGGTCCTTGAGCTGCGAGATGGAGCAATCGGAGGCGACGAGAGGGAGGTAGCTGTCGTCGCGGCTGCACAGGAGCTTCATCCTGGAGGAGAGAGCGTGAAGATTATCGTCGAGCGACAGCGCTCGCATTTTCCTCGTCACGACGAATCCCAGCTTCTTGCAAGCATCGCCGGCGGCATTCACATTCTTCTCGCCGCACAGTCGCGGCAATGCGAGACCACTCCACGACGAAGATCGCCGCTTCTTGCCCGGGATTTGTTCCTCCTCCCCCTCTTTCACAGCAGCGTGGCGGCAATCCTGGGAAAAAGAAGCGAGATTCTCAGCGGAGGAGGCATCAGTGGACACGAGAAGCGCCGAAATCTCTGAATCCTCGCAAATCCTCCCCCGATCGTCGAAAACCTGGCAGCACGCAACACCGCTTATCGAATCCTGCGCTTCTTGATCGCAACGCTCGCATTCCCGATCACGAAACGGCTGCGTCACTCGCCTCCGCCTACTCCGTACCGTCGAGGCCATCGATAAGCCAAAAACAAAGGAACAAAAGAACCCTATTCCGCCATAGCCACCACGATCACGTAAAAGGTTAAAATTTTGAAAATTTTGAAAACTTTTACGAATTACGGCGCGCGTGTAATGCCGGTCAAACAGTTTACCGCCCAGCGAATGGGGTGGCGCCAGATGGCGAGATTTGTCTTCTAACTTAACTAGTAACGGCGAAATTTGCCGCCGTCACAAACAGTCTTTAATGCGCGCCGACGGAATCTGAGTGTGAGGAACAGAATATGCGTAGCAGTGTGACCGTTAGGGCTTTAATACTTCACCGACGTGGGAAGTGATTCATTACTATGGAACGGAAGAATTCCATCCATCATCAGAAAACTATAGAAGTTCTAGTAAGAAATTTCATGGAAACCTGTGATTTGCCAACTCAATCGAATCATCGAATCAAAGGAGAAAAGTCTGACCAAAAATCGCGACTTTGGTGAGTTTGTTTGTATACAATGAAGAGAGAACCGAAAATTCGAACTCCACATCGATCCTGAAAGGCATATCACCAGTTCCAGCCCGCTCTTAAAGGCAACTCCTTTGTACCTTTCCAAGCCGGTGTTAGCGCATCGCTACGAGTAGCTTTGCAACGATTTCAAAAGCATGAAATGGATGGTCCGCAAAGCAAAAGCCAGCGATTGCGAGTAGAACACCTGGAAAGATTGTGATCCATAGTTAGTTGATCAACTTCGGCGAGAACTGGAAGAAATTGATCACTTCCAAAAAACTAAGAAAAACTTTCCATTCACCTGTGAAAAGCTCTCTGGAAAATTATCCTCAATGCCGTAGCCTCTCAAAGTTCCCTCGATCTCCATGGGTCCAGTTACTTCTACAAAACCATCGCTCGCGTTAGAATCAAAGCTCTCGAAATGCTTACCGCCATCGTCCTCGGTTTTACTTCTCGATCAAGCTCTGGCCGGGAGGCTTCTTCAATCCCATCTCCTTCATGCTCAGCTGGACCTCCAGCGCCTCCTGCGGCAATCCAGCCGCCGTGAAGATACTCGACAGCAGCGAGTACAGCGAAGTGTTCTCCGGATCCAGCTCTTTCACCCTCCTCGCCGCTCGCTTCGCAGTATCAGCATCCGAGTGTGTCTTACACGATCCAAGCACCGTCAGCCAGGCCACCGAGTCCGGCTGATACGGCATGGATTCTACCAGCGCTTCCGCGTCTCGCAGCCTCCCGCTTCGTCCCAGAAGATCCACCATGCAGAGGAAATGCTCGCGGATAGGAACCACTTCGTGCTCGCTCTGCATCTCCAGGAAGCACTCCACGCCTCTGGCGAGCAAACCGGCGTGGCTGCAGCCCACCAAGATGCTCGTGAAGGTGATCTCGTTGGGCCTGATGCCGTGGAGCACCATCTCCAGGTACAAGTCGAGCACTTGATCAGCATGGCCCTGTTGAGCGTAGGCGGACGTCATTGCAGTCCACGAGAGAACGTCCCTCTGTCCCATGTCCTCGAACATACTTCTCGCCGTCTCGAGCCTCCCACACCTCCCGTACATGTTAACCAGCGCCGTCTGGACCATCAAGCTCGACCGGAAGCTCTGGTTCTTGAGCACCCGGCTGTGGATCTCCCGGCCTAGCTGGAGAGAGCCAGATATCGCACAGGCACTCAAACTGCTGGCGATGGTCACCTCGTCCGGAAGCACCCCCTGGCTCGTCATAGTCTGGTATAAGTCGAGGGCCTCCCTTCCGAGTCCGTGCTGAGCATAAGCTCCGATCATCGCGTTCCAGGACACCAAGTCCTTGCGACCCGATGCCTCAAAAGCCGATTTTGCGAGCTCCAAGCTCCCACACTTGGCATACATCGTCACCAGCGCGTTCTGGACGGCCACATTCGAGGCCAGCTCGCTGTTCTCGACGTGTCCGTGAATTTTCATCCCTGCTTCCAGATCACCCGACGAGGAGCACGCCGCTAGAACGTTTGAGAAAGTATACTCGTTCGGCCGGGTCCCCTCGGCCACCATCTGGTCGTAGAGCTCCAACGCTTCTTGGGTATGCCCGGCTTGGGCATAAGCAGATATCATCGCCGTCCAGCAGTAGACGTTTCTCTTCTGCCGGACCCTGTTAAACACCGCCCTCGCAGCGTCCAGCTCTCCACACTTTGCGTACATGGTGAGAAGCGCGGTGTGGACGACAAGCGACTGGAATCCACACTCGAACACCCGCGAGTGGATTGCTTTGCCTTCCTTGAGAGCCCCCAAGCTCGCGCATGCCCCGAGAGCAGTCACGTAAGTCACACCGTCGGCATGGACGCCTTCGTGGTCCATTCTACCGTAGAGATCCAGCGCTTCTCTGTAGTGACACGTCTGGACGTAAGCCGTCATGAGCGAAGTCCAGCAAACGACGTGTTTGTTCTGGATCTTCTCGAAAGCTTGCCTCGCGGAGCTCACGTCTCCACACCTCGCGTACATGTTGATCAGAGCGCTTCCCACAAAGTCCGACTCCATGTTGCTGCTCACGATCCTTGCATGGATCGCTTTCCCGTCGACCAGTTTCGTGCAAGCCAGAAGAGCGCTGGTGAAAGTTATCGAGTCGGGCTGGATTCCATCGGCGTCCATCTGCTGGTAGAGATCCAGTGCCTCGTCGCAAAACCCATTGTTGGCGTAGGAAGAGATCATCGAAGTCCACGAGACAGCGTCCCTGTTCTTGATCCCATCAAAAACCTTTCGTGCCTCTTCCACGCTGCCACACTTTCCATACATGTTTACCAGCGCGTTCTGGAGAGAGAGATTGTCTCTGATGATCTGTGGTGCCTCGATGATGCTGGCATGGATCTCTCGAGCCTCACGGAGACTTCCCACCGCCGAGCAAGAGCCCAGAACGATGAAGTACGTGATCTTGTCCGGCTCCGGCCCTTCCTCGCACATCCTGTGATACAACTCCAGTGCCCGGTTCCACAGCCCGTTCTTCCCGTAAGCGCTGAGCATCTGGTTGTAGCAAGCCACCGCCTTGATGCTTGCGAAATTCTGGAACGCGGCCCTGGCGAGGTGGATTTCTCCACAATTTCCATACATCTGGATGAGGAGATTGCCCAGGAACTGGTTCCGGCCATGGCCGGTGCGGAGGAGATGGCGATGGACGAGCTTACCTTCTGCCAGGGAACCCAGTCGCCCGCATTGCTGGAGGAGCTCGTCGTAGAGCTCGACGTAGCCGTGGCGCCGCTGATCGAGCTGCTCTAGGGCGTCGCTCACGGAGATCCTCGCCACCGGCGCCTTCTTCTTGAGATTGAAGACGAGCTTCCTCGAGACGAAGCTCGCCTTCCTCAGCATCCCACAGCATTTTGCGATGCCCTAGAAAGAAGTGCTGACTCAGCCCTAGGAAGTGACGCGGCAAAATCAAATTCACCGCCAGCTTGGCGCAATTGTGGCCGCTGGTTTGGAGCTCTCCCCGCCGTTGGATATATAGGGCATCGGCATGAAATACTTTTTGTGTGTCGCATCGAGGAACAGAGCAGCGATGGCTTCCGCATCTTTGATCTCCGGCTTCGCGACGACGACCCCAGCGGCAGCTCCTGCGCTCCAATCGAGGCAGCATTTGCGATTCGGCCGAAATCTCCAGCTCTGCTCCAGTCTAGGCGTCAGATCATCGTGTTCTTCGTCAGGTAATCCCGATCACGCCATGAATTCCTGGATCCATTCCAGCGCATGCATCCTCTGTTCTCTTCGATTTCCCGGTTCGATCTCACTGGTTTTGCTGGAAATTTCTAGCTATCAGAGCTCAAGTGGCAACGGCGACCGAACCCTCTCACGAGGCAACGAAATTAGTCGAAGCTCCTGTGTCAGTGGTGACTGGTGCTTCGCGAGGGATTGGCAAAGCCATAGCTCTCGCTTTGGGTGCTGCTGGTGGCAAAGTAAGGCTTCTTTCAAGTTTTCTTCCACTGTTTATCTTACCGCTTCAATAGGTTCTTGTAAACTACGCTAGATCATCAAAAGAGGCCGAGGATGTTGCCTCGCAGGTATCGTTAGGTGAATTTTTTGTCTTTCTTGTGGAAAATGGTGTTTTACTGTAGATCGAAGAACTTGGTGGCTCGGCTCTCGTTTATGGTGGAGATGTATCGAAGGAAGAAGATGTCGAGGCGCTTTTCAAGGCTGTGATCGACAAGTGGGGAACGATCGATATTCTTGTGAACAATGCAGGTACTGGTTGCTGGAATTATCAAGTTTGGAACGCTTGACTGATTCGTTTTTCAAGGGATAACGAGGGATACACTTCTCATGAGGATGAAGAAATCTCAGTGGGACGAGGTTATCAATCTCAACCTTTCTGGGGTTTTTCTGTGCACACAGGTTCGTCCATCAGTCTTTCAGACTGCTCGTCCGAGAAAAGTGACTTTATGCACTGCAGGCTGCTACGAAAGTCATGATGAAGAAGAAAAAGGTCTGTATTTTGTGTCAATTTCCATAGTGTCGAGTTTCTTATTACATGATAACGCACAGGGTCGGATCATCAATATTTCATCGGTTGTCGGTGTTACTGGGAATGCAGGACAAGCAAACTATAGCGCCGCTAAAGCTGGTGTCATTGGTTTCACGAAAACTGTTGCTCGCGAGTATGCCGGAAGGAGCATTACGGTATTCTCAAAATTGCTGCTCCTTTAGTTCCTAAATTTCCCGAGTGCATCCTGCAGGCCAATGCTATTGCTCCAGGATTCATCGCCTCAGACATGACTGCAAAACTGGGAGACGAAATTGAGAAGAAAATACTCCAAACCATTCCATTGGGTAAAAGCAAACACATATCCTTGCGATAATCTGCATTTGCTTAAAACCTCTTGCGTCTGCGCAGGAAGATATGGCCAACCAGAGGAAGTGGCTGGTCTCGTCAAGTTTCTCGCTCTCGACCCGGCAGCTGCTTATATTACAGGACAGGTACGATCTCTTTCTTTTAGTCACAGCGTTCGTCCATCCTCTGAGAGCTTCATTCCCAGGTTTTCAATATCGATGGTGGAATGGTCATGTAAGCACGCAAGCTAGGATGTTTTTGTCTCATACAATTTTGAAATAATCCTATAGCACCTAACTTATTGATACCTTTGATTTATAACAAATGAGGCCACTCCATATGGAGCTTAATGACAAACTCCAAGCCAGCCTAGATGTGGACAACTTCCTGCTACTATACCTAATGGGACTATTTCTTATGCAATGATATTTTTCTATAAAAGAAGCCTGATCTATAGATAGTTACAGTTAACTTATTTTTAAGAAATAAATCTCTTTTATAATGAGAAGAATGTGCATATCATATGTACTATGAAAATTTTAATAGTTAACTATTTTTCAAAAAACTCTTTTAAGATTAAATGTAACATTTGTTAAAATTTTAGCAAATTATACAAACTTTAACTCCAGGAAAATTGTCATATTTTATTTTAATAACAATTTTAAAAGTAAAAAATATTACAAGTTGTATTTAATATCTTAACTTAAAATAAATAGATTCAATTCTTTTTTCAAAGTTATTTTTGAACATTTAAAGAATTAAAGTATTAAATTCTAAAAGTGACAATTTATATAGTAAATAGTTTAGTGGGAAAAATAAATTTTGTTAAAAAAGATGGTTTTGGTTAGTCTCAACTGGAACTTATTTAGTTAAACTAGTTATAAAAATATTAAATCAATAGTTATATAAATAAAAAATAAAAATTATCACTCTATATTATATGTATTTAAATTATTAATTTTTGGATTATATTAGGTAAATTTATAAGGACGAAAACCTTATAATCAAGAATGGGGTAAAGTTCATCGCAGTGAAACTATATTATAGAGAGTTTAAGTATGTGGAGCCAACTACCTAACATATTTCTTTAAATTAATAAGAATTATAAAATTATTTATAAATACAAGCTAACCAAGTAGCATATATCTATTTTATTTTGTTATTAATAAGTTTGTATTATAAACTTAGAAAGAAAAATCTTAAATATGTTATGTTGATAATTTAAATATACAATTTTATTGATAATATATAATTTATAATAAATATAATGTTGGTATTAATATGTACTATATTAATGTCTAAATAATAAAAAAATTTGGATAATAAAAAAATTATTATTATTATATTAAATGAACAATATAACTTAATTTATTAGATTGTGTAAACTCTTGAGTTTATATTTTCTGGGAAAGTATAGAAATCCTTGACACGTGGATACATGCCTCACATCTTTAACAGTAATTTGTAAATAGGGAAAACCCTTCTATTTCATTACTACATAGAATAATTTAAAATTGTATAAATAAATAAATATATATATATATATAAAATTTAAAGTTAAAAATAATTCGAATCAAATAATAATTACTTTATAAATGAAATAATAAAATTTAAAAATAGATTTATTTACTTATATCACTACTTCTTCTTCTCAATCCAATTTCTTTTAAATATTTATTATCTTAATTTGCATATTATAAATTTATTAATATGACTTTTTTTTAATGCAAAACTGATTTATTTACTTTAGATAATCTAAATTTGGTAATATTTCAAATCAACCCCATATATTCAAAATATCCTCAAAAAGCATTTAACAACTTTCTAAGTTTTCCATATGCCCACATCCACAGCAATGTAATAAACAACATAAGTAGTAACAATGGAAATAAAGGTATAGGAAAAGCATTGATTATCCCTAGGCTGGTGCTAAAGCTAATGCTCAGCACAGTGCCAAAGATGGTGCTAATGGTGCCAAAGCTGGATAAAATTCTGGAAGTAGTGCTAAATGAAGCTTTAAAGGTACTATTGGAGCTGATGCCAAAATTGTTGAACATAGTGCAAAAGATGGTGCTATTGAATGTGGAGACTCTGGTGTTGGAGATGGTGCTAGACACTGTGTTGAAAGTGGTGCTAAATGTTATCATTTTGTATAATAACTATATTGAAAATTTATCTTAAAAGAGATATATGATATAAAAAATTAAGTAAAAAATTTGAAAATCTATTACTTATAAATTCATTTAAAAAATACAATATAAAATAGTGGATTGGTTTTAATAATAATTCACCACAAAATAATGAAAAAAACTTTCCTTTTCAAAATTAAAATGTATTTATACTGGGAAAACTTTTCTAGTGAACAAGAGTCTTCATGAGTATGTTGACATTTCAGTAATGTTGATAGCATTTTAATAATTAAAACCATTTGATAATTGCATTGCCTAGTGTGTGATATTAAGGCATTCATTTATGCATTGATATGCTCTATGTGAACTTCAGCATTTCAACATAGGTGGCCATCAAAGTGGCCTAGTATGGGCTGTTTGAGACAACTAGCCTTTCTATTGTTCTCCACCATGTTGAAATGGATTAAATTGGGAATGCTATAGCTACTGCTTTGTCAAAACTTTGTGAGGCTTGTACCAAATGTAGTTCTACATTTGTTAAAGGTTTATTCCAACAGAAGTTAATGTTAAGCATGTGATGAATTTAGCCATATATATCAACAATTCCATCTCCTAGATGGAGGCCTCCACACCAAACATAATGGTAATCACAGGCTGAATTCCATTAGAGGGACTAGAGTGGGTTCATTTAGTTAGTATGTATTCTTAATCAACAACTCCAAATTGAAGCTTTACTAAGTTGATGACAATAGCATGACAAAAGACGCCGATGCTCTCGTCTTCGAACCAAGAAGGCTTGTAGCAAAATGAAAGTAATTCGTGATTAAAAACATATCAAGGTGCAGTTTATTTGTTTGTACACAATTCTGCAAAGTAAGCAAAAAAGGGAGAGCATTAGGAAACTTCACTTCACAAGTAAAAGGCCATACCAAGAGTTCCTTCAAGCCTTCACAGGTTTGGATACCTTTGATATGAAACTACAGCCAATAAATCTACACTGTGCTGAGTAATAGCTATTCTCCCCACCCCACCTTTGCAGCAATTTCAAAAGCATGAAATTGAAGTTGCTAGAGCTCTCCCATCCAGTCCCACTTTGGCTTCGCTGCCCAAAAGCTCTTTTACTGCTCCCTCCAAATTCTGCCTGTCACCCTCAGCTTTAGCTCCTTCCTGTCACCCCCGGAGAAAAACAAGGCCATGTTTCTCTGGATTATCAATCCGTCATGGCTGTCCCTCACTTTCTTGTGGCAGTCCCGAATGCTTCTCGGGACACCCTGCCACATCAATTTCCTGCCATTGGCGCCTACCTCGAGGCTGTAGCTGAAGTTCTTGGCATCGTTGTCGTCCCCCATGAATCTCAAAAAAGCCATGTAAACTGGCATTGTCCCGAGCTGAAACGCCTCAAAGTGTAGGCAGAAGTGCTGTCCGTAACAGTTGAAAACCTGGAAACCAAACAGCAGTCGTCGGGTTACTCGATCAAACTTCTGAAACTGAAGCTTGCATAGCTTCAAAAGCTAGCAGCACAAGAACATCAAACGAAGAAACGATTGGACCAAGAGGAAACCAACGTTACCGTGAGCATCCAGGTAGCATTCTCGACTTCCTGTGGATTGGACTTGACATAGCGATGGTTGAAGGTGCAACCATTGTGCATGTCCACCTTGTGATCGTCGCGCAAGTGAGCAACCAGCGTTGGAATGTTGCCACTGATGGAGCACTCGGATCCCGCGTAGGGGCAGCCGTAAGGCCGGAAGCAACACTGCGCTTCGTGCTTGAGCTTGCTGTAGTATGGAAAGATGTCGGGGCATCCAAGTCCCTGGTACCTACAAGGAAGTTCCAGCGATTCCGCAACCTTCTCCAGAGCCAAGCAGCGAATGTTTCCCAGCTCGTATCGGCAAGTTGGGCAGCGATTGTGGACGCGGACTTTACAAGTAGAGCACAGAGTGTGGCCATTTGGACACTGCACAGTGAAGAGAGAGACTAAGAACCAAGCAAAAAGGAAGTAAAACGAAGAATTTTCCAACACTCACCTGGTGGATGGGAGGATACATCGAGTTCGTGCAAACCGGGCATTCAAGGAGCTCGTGGACGCTGCTAGTGGATTTGGAGCACGACTTGGATGATCCGCAAGAGGCCGAGGGAGGCGCGGAGGATGCTCCTACCGACGACGCCGCTGACCCCGCCGCTGCTACTGCTACCACATCGGCATCGGCCGTGGTTTCTGTGCTATCGAGCGATGGCGACTCCGGGACATCGAGGTAGATCGTCCCGGGCGACATTCGTGCCGGGCGATGGAAGAGCTCTCCTCCCTAACCCTACCTGATGGAATGAGGGCCTGGGAATCGAACCCTGGCCAATACTCGAAATTTACGCGCCGAAAGCTCTTTAACGCCCTTAACTACAACGCTTTTTAAATTCCAAGAACCCTAAAAACAGAGAAATGGAGCCCTAGAAGCAGAGCTCTCTCTTTCATTCATTCATCTCTAGATAGAGTACAAGCGTGGGCGAAAAATTTCTATCGAATTCTCAGGCCCTGCAAGCATCGCATTCGATCGGTTTCATTGATTGAGAGGAACAGCGAGAGATCTCCGTACCTTTTTGATCGAGCCAACCAAATCCTTGGCGTTGTCACCAGCGTCATCGGCTTTGCTCCTCGCATCGCCAACGAGTCCCTTGAGTTTCTCGTTTGGATCCTTGGATTGCCCCTGAACTGAGTCGACATCGCTCTTTACCTTGCCTTTGGCCTGCCCGAAGAATCCCTGGATGCCCTTCTTCGCATCCTCGGCCTTGTCCTGGAAACAAAGAAGAATGGAATCAGCAAAGTAGAAGATCTCAAAACAGATTTCTTTCACTTCACCTGAGCTTGGCCCAGAGATTCATCCAATCTCTGCTTGGTCTCGGAAGCCTTCCGGGCGACCTTCTCGCGACCCTTTCCTACGAGCTCTGATCCACTGTCCTGGATCTCTGGAATGGCGCCACTCCCACCTCTGCGCAATCGATCGGTCAGATCAATCAGTCAATCAATCTACACAAAAATTCTCACTTTTGGGCGATTCTTCCATCGTCTTCCGACTTGACACCGCCCCGGGATGGGCCAAATCGCGGCGGCGAGTCGTCGTTGGTGAGCTTGTCGGCGTCCTTGAGCAATTTATCTGCCTGCTCGCCAACGTTGAAGATCGGAACCAGGCTTGGATCTTGCTGCTGCGCCATCGCAATGCCGCTGCCACTGCTCGTGGAGACCGCCAGCGCCATCAGGCCAGTCGCTGCCAATCGCCCCAATCCACTCAACCGCGATGTGCTCGTCTCGGGCGCATCATCCTGGCCAGAACAAGAGAGTGAGTACTGCGATTCGGGGAAATTCGTGGGTGAGTTTCTGGTACCTGGCGAGAACAGCAGCATTGCACGGATGATCTGCTACTGCTTCTCACGGCAATTCTCTGCGAATTGGGCGATGGGCGCAGCGAAGAACAGGACGAGAGCATCGACGAATCCAGGCACACATTTTGGACTCCTACAGCCGCCATTTCTTCGATGGATCGAGAGGAACCTCTTCAACAATTTCTTCTCTTCTCTACTCAAGAGATGTAAGAGCTCGATCTAAGTTACTGCAATGTTACCCCGCTACAGTATATATACCGCGAAAATCGTAGACAAGAAAAAATGATAAAAGCTGTCCACCCTTCCACTCGTCGCGCGAGAAAGAAAGATGGCGTGGCCACTCTACAAGTGTCCCTCCACGTGTCAATCATGCACTAACATAAGCCAAATCCATTCTCTCATCGTCACAAGCATCATAGTTTTACAACCAAACGTTTTTCTTGTGGCTAATAGGATCTTTGCGAATATCCTCGAAATAAGAATATGCTTAAACCCTAGACCCTCCATAAACCCTAGACCCTAGGGCATTTTTGCGAGCGGCGAGGCGATCGACAATGCAGCAGGCGCGCGCTCTCCGGCTCTCCGCGAGGCTCTTCGATGCGGCGGCGATGGCGGCGGCGGTGTCGCGCACGCGAGGTCGGTGGATTCATGCTAGCAGCAGCCTGGAAATGCCGCTGCCGTCGCGGCCGGATGTGAGCAAGAACATCTCGCGGATGAACATGCCGCCGGAGGGGCAGCAGCAGAAGAGCGAGCAGAAGTCCAAGATCGACGAGTGGCTCAATCCGCCGCCGCCGCCCACGGAGCTCCTCCAGAGGATGAAGTTCAAGCTCTCAGATGCTTGCTCCATGACGATCTACTATGGTGATATCTCCAAGTGGAATGTGGATGGATTGAACGACGCCATTGTAAGTTTGTGCTCCTCTCTAATCGTTTTCTTTCTATTCTACGGTTGTTCTAATGTGGTGAATTGCTGGTAATGTAGGTTGCCCCGGCAAATAAGAGACTCAATGCAGGGGCTGCGGTTGATGGAGGTAAGAGTTTCATCTTTTGTTCCTTTCTTGTTTTGTTCTTTTCTATATCTCTGTTTGGCGTTGTTTTCTACAGTCATCCACAAGGCTGCCGGGCCGAGACTTTTATCGGCTTGCCAGAAGCTCCCGGACGTTGCTCCGCTTGGAATCAAGTGCAATGTTGGGGAAGCTGTGAGCACAAGGTATTTAATTCTTCGAGGGCCTGGAAAGAGCTGTTTTGTTTCAACTTCTGTTTCTGGCAGAGCTTATAATCTCTTGGTATCGCGTGTTATCCATACAGTCGGGCCTGTATTCGAAGGCAAAGAGTCGGATCCCGTCCTTGAACAGACCTACAAGTAAACTATCCGAAGGTTTTGTCAAGCTCTGTCTCTAAACTTTGCGTTTTCTAGGAGTGCTCTCGCTCTGGGCTTAAAGGAGAACATCAAGTTCATATGTTTTCCAGCTCTATCCTGTCGCATCTACGGGTAACTTGCTTACGTTCTCAGGATCACTCGAAGCTTTGGGTGTTTTTCACAGATACCCCTACTCTGAAGGTGCTGAAGTCGCGATCAAAACAGTGAAAGAAAACTTCCAGGGCTACGCCCAGGTGAACTTGCTCACGGAGTTTGTTCTCATGAAAGAAATCTCTTTGCTTATTTTGCAGGTCGATTTTGCGATTCGGAACATCGAAGGCTACGAATGCTGGATCGACGAGGCGTTCAAGCATTTCACGGAGATCAAGCAAAAGTGATCAAGCGAAAGATGGAATCATGTACAAAGCTCTTCGACTACTGATTTAAAATGGTATCTGTCATTCAGTAGAAAGCTGTGGAAGAGAGCTATGGTATTCCAGCTTGGAACTCCCGCCACGCAAATTCCGGGACGTAAGATCGCGACACGTGGCATTTTTCACGTGGGCATAGTCCGTACGAGCGAGCTGGACCTTAGCTTTGTTGTTACTCCAATATCTGGCGATTGGGGACAAGCCAGAGCCACTCTTTCCTCATCACTTAGATTATCCTTTAACGCTATGGGTTTAAAAAAATCTCGTGAGCCCTAGAAATCTCTCTCTCTCTTTTGCGCGCAATGGCGATGGCGCTCGATCGGGTTGCGAATTCCTGCTGTTCGCGGCGATTCAATCGTGGAGGAGCGAGCGGGATTGCGATAGTATTGCTCCAGGTTTGCTGATTTCTTGCGCGCCGCAATGCCGTCGTGAGATGCCGCCGATGTCGCGGCGCGCAAATGTGGAGGGATTTCTAGATGAAACGAAAGAGCACGGAGCTGGGGGACGCAGGGATCGATCTGGAGAGGCGGCGGGATAGCAGCGACAATGCAACCACGGCGGCGTCGGTGTTTGCCCAGGGATGGGCGGTGGCTCCAAGAAGTGGCTCTCAATCGCGTGTGGCGGCATCCAGCTCTAGCGTGGAGAACAGATTACCGCCAGCGTCGATGGAGCTGGTTCTAGCGACCGATGCCGGCGATGGTGATACCAACATGAACGATACCGGGGCCGAGGAGGAGGAGGAGGAGGACGATGGTGGCAATGACCACGTCGGGGACGTGACGCTTCGCCAGTGGCTGAGACCAGGGAGGACTGTCGATCGAGTGGCGTGTCTACACATCTTCAAACAGGTGCTGGAGTTCGTAGAGCTCGCACAGAAGCAAGGTGTGATTCTCCGGACTATCAGGCCATCCTGCTTCATGATCTCGCCTCTCCATCGCATCACCTTTATCGAGTCCGCCAGCAGCTCGGACAGATCTTCCGAGCACTCGACCGGGAGGGCCGCGGACTTTCCCGAGCAGGATATGGGAATGGAGGCCCAGAGAAATGTGGATGCCGCTGCTACCACCGCGCAGCCCGATGACCAGTGGACGTCTTCGTTCGATCCCAGCGAGCCCAGTAGCCACGAGATTGACGAGAACTTTCCTCTCCGACAAGTGCTGGCCAAGGAGCAAACCTGGTACACGAGTCCCGAGGAGCTTGCCGGTGGCGCTAGCTCGTTTGCATCGGATGTATACAGTCTCGGCGTGCTTTTTTTCGAGGTATGAGTTTGTTTTTCTCTTGTTTGTATTGTTGAAAAAGCTTGCCGACTTTGTTGCAGCTGTTCTGCGTCTTCTCCTCAAACATGGAATGGTCGAGAGCGATGTCTGATCTTCGCCACCGGATACTTCCTCCACGACTGCTTTCCGAGTCGCCGAAAGAGGCAGCGCTCTGTCTCTGGCTTCTTCATCCGGAGCCTCAGTCCCGGCCGAAAGCCAGGTCAGTCAGTGACATATGTGTATCGATGATTGAACCTGGGCATTATTTTCTTTCTAGGGAGATCTTCCAGTGCGAGCTATTCAGTGAGGCAGGAGAGGCTCTTGCCGAGCGTGAGGCGGCCGTGGACATTGAAGAGAAGGAAGCAGACTCGGCCTTGTTGCTAGAATTCCTTCTTCGTGTGCAACAGGAGAAGGAAGAGGCGGCCCAGAAGTTGTGTCGAGACGTGCAAGGCCTCAGCACAGACATCGACGAGGTTGAGAAGCGTAGAGGGGTACTAAAACACAAGGGACTGATGGTAAGCCATGCAGAGAGGGACAGGATGTGGAGCCTTGGGGGGCCGAGGGATGAAAGTTTTGGTAGCTCTAGCAGGCACAGGCTAGATCTTTCGTTGCGGATGGAACCAACTAGAGTAGGAGGAGATGAAGCAGGGCCGTCCGAGGGGAATGACATAGTTTCACCGGTGGCTGAGAGTAGGAGGCATAGCGAAGTTTTGTCCAGGAGTGCCCGACTGATGAGGAACTTTAGTCAGCTAGAGCAGGCTTATTTTTCAATGAGGTGGAAAGTCGATCCTCCGGGAGTGGATATGGACGTGGACGGGCCTTCTTCTGGTGGTAAACAGATCGTAGAAGCTTCTCCGGTGGCTGGAAGTGCGAATGATCGTCTCGGGGGCTTCTTTGACAGCCTTTGCAAGTATGCCAGATACAGTCGGTTCGAAGTAAAGGCTACCTTGAGGCATGGGGACTTGCTCAACACAGCCAACATGGTGTGCTCTCTCAGCTTCGATCGGGACGAGGAATTCTTTGCAACAGCTGGAGTGTGCAAGAAGATCAAGGTGTTCGAGTGCGATACGGTTCTCAACGAGCATGTTGACATTCATTACCCGGTGGTGGAGATGGCTAGCAGATCCAAGCTTAGCAATATCTGCTGGAATAGCTACATCAAGAGTCACCTTGCTTCAAGTGATTACGATGGTGTAATACAGGTACTCTTTGCGATTCATCTTCTGTGCAAACATGACACCTTCATTTTACGCAGCTTTGGGACGCTAGTACCAGTCAGACACTCGTAGAGTACAAAGAACACGAGAAACGGGCGTGGTCTGTGGATTTTTCGCATGCAGACCCGACGAAGCTCGCAAGTGGTAGCGATGATGGAACTGTAAAACTGTGGAGCATAAACCAGGTAGGAACAGCCGTATTTCTTTCTTATCATTTAAACTCAAATCCTTGTGTGTGTACTCCAGGAAGCAAGCACTGGAACGATTAAGACCAAAGCCAACGTTTGCTGCGTCCAGTTTCCTTCCGACTCAGCGCACTTACTTACCTTCGGCTCGGCTGACTACAAGATCTATTGTTACGACTTGAGGAATACAAAGGGTCCCCTGTGCATCCTGTCGAGCCACAACAAGGCCGTGAGCTACGTAAGGTTCGTTGATTCCTCGACGATCGTCTCAGCCTCGACGGATAACACACTCAAGCTGTGGGACCTGAGCAAAGTGATGAGAAATGGAAACTCTAGCAACGCGTGCGGCTTGACTTACACGGGGCATACAAACGAGAAGGTAGCGACTCTCTTTCGATATCTTCGTGTCTCTTACGTCGTGAACCGACTTGCTTGAGCAGAATTTCGTTGGATTGTCTGTATCCGATGGCTACATCGCGTGTGGCTCAGAGACAAACGCCGTAAGTCGACCGTAGCTTTTCTTTCGGAAACCTCTCATTCCATCCATTTTCGCAGGTGTTTTGCTATCACAAGTCACTCCCGATGCCACTGGCGACTCACAAGTTTGGCTCCTCGGACCCGGTCTCCGGCCAGGAAAACGAAGACGATGGAGGTCAGTTTGTCTCGAGCGTGTGCTGGAGAGGCAAATCGCAGACTCTCCTCGCTGCAAACTCCATGGGAAACATCAAAGTCCTCGAGCTGGTTTAAGCAGAGGAGTTGCAATTTTTGAGGAACGAAGAACAAAATATCTTCCTCCAAAGCTGTAAAGAGAAAAAGTGAGCTGTATCATTGTAAATGGTGGACGCAATTCCACGAAAGGTTTTTTCTTAAGATCGTCTTTACCCGTCCCAGCGTGCGCCACGTCGCCCTAGATTTAGGCCACACACGTGGCTAAAATATCAAGCTGGATATCCGAGACCATATCTCCGCACAATGCGCTGGCCGTTGGATCCGCGGAAATCAATCCCGACGCTCTGATTGGCCTCGGAAATCCATTACTTTATTTTGAATGCTTGCCACGTCGGATGGAAATATCTCCCAGGGCCCGCCACGTGTGCCGTGAAAGAAAGATATTTCGATCGTTGGCTACTTGACGACGGGGTTTTCTGTGGTTTGTGGAGTGTCTCATTCTAGGTTTTTGCCCTGGATCGAGGTTTGTAGCGCGATTTTTGCGAGGAATTCGGCTGTGCGCGGCCCGATTTCGAGGTCAGATCGCCCAATGGTGCGATGACAATGAGGCAGGCAGGGATTCTTGATGCGCCGAATGGCGCGGGCGCTGGAATTGGCGGGGAGAGTGGGAAATTGAGGCCACACTCACAGCACGGTGAAGGGTGGGAAAATCTTCCTCCATACAAGCAGCTCAAAGTCCTCCTCGTTGAAGATGATGATTCCACGAGGCATGTCGTGGCTGCTTTGCTACGCAATTGTGGCTATCAGGGTATGCGTTTGGAGAGCTTTGATTTCTTCTTTCCTTTTTCTACTGAAGAACAGGACTGATACATTTCTTCTTCTTCTTCTTACAGTTGTGCCTGCTGCAAATGGTTTGCAAGCGTGGTCTTTACTCGACGATCGCAACCGGGAGATCGATCTGGTTCTTACGGACGTGGTGATGCCGGGCTTGTCAGGACTTGGACTGCTCTCGAAGATAATGCATCACAAGAACCACCAGAAAGTTCCTGTTGTCAGTAAGTAGTTTGTTTTGGGTTGATCGATCGAGCCGGGGGTTTAACGTTGCTTGTGTGAATGCAGTGATGTCGTCTCACGATTCGACGAATGTGGTTTTCAAGTGCCTGACGAAAGGAGCTGCGGACTTTTTGGTGAAGCCCGTGCGCAAGAACGAGCTGAAAAACCTGTGGCAGCATGCTTGGAGGAAAGCTCGAAGTGTACGTGTTATGCTCTTCTTGTTTTGATCGAGAGAGAACAAAAGAGTAACTTTTCTTATATCAATCGATGCAGTCGAGTGGAAGTGAAAGCGAAACAGGGAGATTAAACAAATGTGGAGGCTCCTGCGGCGAATTAAGCAGTGATTCTGGAAGTGAGGAAATCCGCATTTCTGATCAAAGTGACACGGAGGTAAAGACTAATTTCCATGTTATCTGTGTTTTGATTTCTCTCCATTCTCAGAGTTCGTGCACGAAAAAGGTGGCGGAGCTGGAGAGCCCACGAAAGTCCAGGCCGCAAGCTTTCACAAAACCAAAGCCGTGTCCGCCATCCAGGCGGGCACGCCGGACGAAAGGTACACGCTCAAGTTCGTCTGATGCTTTTGTTTCGGCTTAAAAAGCTTTGCGGATAATTTCTGAAACATGTCTAGTGACGCCTGCAGATTCTGACACGGTCGATGATGTTGGTGCCCGTCTCAAACCCACGGATTCACCAGCAGACACGGATCGAGCAATGGAGGCTGTGGACTTGATTGGAAACATTGCCGAGCCGAGCACGGCCAAGGCCGCCGAGGAATTCGAGTCCGAGATGGGGGCAAGCAACAGCCCGGAAGTCATCCTAGAACGAGATGTGAGCTCCTCAGACCCGGCGCCAACGTCGGGAAATCTGGAGCTCGCTCTCAAAAGTCCTGCCCCGGACCACGCTTACGAGCCGAGCTATGTCTTAAACCAGTCAGGACCTTCTGCCTTCTCAAGGTCATTTTTTCTCTTCTCCTAGCTTCAGATGCTAACACTTACGCATCAAATGTAGGTACAACACGAAACAAAAACAAGCTATTGATCATCACCACCAACAGCAACAGCAGCAGCAGCAGCAGCAGCAACATCAACAACAGCAACACCAGTTTTCTTCCACAGCAAGTGTCCAACTTCCAGGCCAGATTTTTACGAACGGAGGAACACAAACTGGAAGGTCAAACGATCAGGCAGCGGCGGCCGCAGCAGCAGCAACGGCAGCAGCAACAGCAGCGTTCTTTGCTAGGCCCGAGCAGCAGCATCATATAGTCACTCCGGTGCAATACGCGACAGTACTTTCTTACGACCAGAGCTTACCAGCGAGAGGAGGAGCTACCTATTACTACACACAGCCGGCTTTGCCGCCATGGCAGCACGCTTTCTCACCACAACAGCAGCCTCGCCTCGACAATCCAGACTTCGTGGAGCAGCAGCAGCGTCAGCAGCAGCACTTCGTGGAGCAACAACAGCGTCAGCAGCAGCAGCACGAAGAACAAAAGCACCGGAGTTTCCAAGCGTTTACAAACATCATGGCTCACCACCACCACTACCACATCGAGCACCACCACCACGATAAAGCCAGCGGTAGCAACGAGCTTGAGACTCCGGGCTGTGGCTCCACGAACGTCGCTGGAGATGGTAGCGGTGGTGTTGGTGGTGGTGAGCTCCACTCAAGTTTGCACGCCTCCAACAATAATGGTGGCAGTGGGAATGGGAATGGTTGGAGCAGCTATGGAAACAATGGCAGCGTGAGTGGAAGCAACCATGGCAGCAACAACGTTTACAACGACAGCACCGCCAAGATGAGTAACTTTGGCAGCTGCTGCAATGGTGGCGATAGCAATCCGGGCTCCAACAATTGTGGCGCTCCGGCCGAGAACGCCGCCAACAACAGCAAAGTCAGGCGAGAGGCCGCCCTGAACAAGTTTAGACAGAAACGAAAGGAGAGGTGCTTCGAGAAGAAGGTACTCGCCATTCTTTGTTTCATTTTCTTTGGCACGTCTCACACTCGTTTCTTTCTTCCAGGTTCGGTATCAAAGTAGGAAGAGGCTTGCGGAGCAGCGCCCTCGAGTGAGGGGCCAATTTGTGAGCCAAGCGGTGTTCGATTCGTCCATCGACAATGTACCATGTCAATAGTGTACAGACAATGAGTTTTTTCTTGGCCTTTTTTTTGTTTCTCTAATGTTATCAAAAGATGCAATTTGACCTTCGTGTTCTTCTCGCCTGTAGCGATTCCATGCTTAAGTCTCTGGAAATGCCAGTGCTTGCAAAAAGTAGGAAGAAAAAAAAACTAGAAGTTTATTCACTTCGATGAGACTCTAGTCCGACTTGCCACTGTGATCATCACTGTCGTCAATCGGGGCGTATGAATCGTGGAGAACCAGATCTTTCATGTTCTTGAGGTGCTCGTTTCCATCGCCAATCTCGTCCTCCTCTCGCACCTCCCGTCCCACCGCACTCCCTTCCAACGCCGGATCCACAAACTCCTTGATGGTCTCGCTCACAACTCCGCCGCCCTCCGGATCATCCTTCTCGCTCTGCCAGTGCTCCTCCGCCAGCTTCCTCTCGCCATCCTTGTTCACGTCCTCGGCATCCACCGCCTTGTGCTTCTCGGGATCCAGCTCCAAACTCTCCGCGCCTCTCTCCGCCTCCGATCGCAGCTTCTCCACGCCACTCGATCCCGAAACCTGCTGAGCTTGCTGCTCCATCTTCCTCTGCAACTCTCCTACGTTCTTCTGGACGTCTCCCGCGGCTCGCGACGCCGATTCCTGGACGCCACCGAGCCTGCTCTTGAGTTCCTCGAGGCTCTTCTTAGCGGCCTCCACGACTTTGTTCCCTCTCTGCCCGGCCTCCTCGGCCGCCTCCACCAGGACGCTCACTCGCTTCTCCACTTCCCCTCGAGCAGCCTCCAGTCCCTGTCTTGCCTTCTGTCCACTCTCCAAGCTCGCCTTCACGGCCCCCTCCACGTTCTTGTGTAGCTCTTGTCCTAGCCCGGCAACCGGACTCTCCGACCCGGACCCGAGGTGCTCGGCCTCCACCTCGGACGCTCGCTCGGCCGTTTTTTCCAAGTTCTCGGTCACTTCTTCCACTGCCTCGCCGGTCTTGGATGCTATAGCTCCGGCTTCGTGCTCAGCCTCTTCATGCACTCTCTCGGGGCTCTCCACCGCCGACTCCGATGCTACATGCGTGACGCTCTCGCGAACATCCTCCTTTTTGACATCCTCGTTTTTGACTTGCTCGTGGTCGGGGACTTCGATCACCAGCTTCGCGGGCTCGGACTGGCCCGGCGTCTCTGCCTGGATCGTCAACCGGATGGAAGATTTCTTGCTGCCTTCATCACCCTCTAGAGCTGCTCTCGTCGTGAAACAGGAAAGAGTACCTCTTCTACACGCTCCGCTCGGAAAACAAACCTTTTGGATCGACGGAGAGCGCAAACGATTCCCATTGATGAACGAGACACTCGCATTCATCGCAACTACGGCCTCCATAGCTTTTTCCACACTTGGGAGCAGCGTCAGTGCTCTCTTTTTTAGGGCTCCAGGCGCACAGTTGGCGGTTCCGGTGCTTGCCACGCTGCAAGAACAGGTGTCAGCCACCACGCCTACGAGATAAAAAAATCACCAAGTTGAAAACTTGACAAGTACCTGTCAAACTACACGTCTTCTATCAAAAGCTCGATAATTTATATTCAAAGATCTGCAAGACACAGAGAATTCGAAGAACATGAGTACGGTGGCGATCGAGAGGTGTGTACGTAACAACAGGACTCACAACAATTGGACACTTGGAATCTTCAACAGGCGCAGCTGCCAGCGTTCTCGGGAGGAGGAGGCTCGTTGCCCGGTCTCAGGATGTTCTTCTTCACTGACTTGGCCTCAGCTACCAAGCTGGGCGTTTCCAGAATCTGCGCAAAAACAAGGAGAGAAGAAGACCATTTAGTTGGTAGCAGCCTTGAATTTTTCAGAGCCTTCCCACCTTCCTGACAAGCTCTTCGAAACACTGTTGGACGTTGATGCGAGTCTTTGCGCTGCTCTCCAGGAACAAGCAGCCATACTTCCGGGCGAACGCAATGCCCTCGTGTTGTGAGACCGCGCGCTCGGAATCCTGGAGTTCAAAGGAAAGGAGTCAGACAAATTCATCGGAAACAATAGTACAGACCCTGTCGACTTTGTTTCCAACCAGCAGCTTCACACAATCCTGGTTAGTCGAGTAGAGCTCGACCTCTTTGAGCCAAACATCTTGAAGATTCGTGAATGTATCTCTCCTAGTAACATCATAAACTGCGAAAGAGAAGAAAAACAAATGAGCTACAAGCAAAGAGAAAGTAAAGCTCGAGATACGCGTACCAAGAATGACGCCTTGAGCTCCTCGATAGTATGAACTCGTGAGTGTTCTAAATCTTTCCTGCCCAGCTACGCGAGATCAAGAAAAAAAAAACTCTCAAAACTCATACAAGAGATAGCTGTGCTCAAGTTACCGGTGTCCCAGATCGTGAGCTTGAGCCTCTTCCCTTCCAATGTCATGAGCTTGAGCTTAAAATCCACACCTGTGTGAAGAAGAAGATGAAAATCCTCTCTTACTCTTACTTTTGGAGGCATTGGGGATCCACTCACCGATTGTGGGGGAGAGATCGTCGAATGTGTCGGCGGTGAATCGCAGCAGCAAGCTGCTCTTGCCGACACCGGAATCTCCGATGAGCAGTATCTTGAAGAGGTGATCAAACTCATTGCCGCTCACCGACGAAGACGAGGAGGAGAGCGCCATTGGCAAGAGGATGTAGCGCACGGCCTTCACTTACAAGTGGGAATGGATCGATCCCACAGCTCCTCCCCCTTCTCCACCTAGGGCAAACTAAAAAATAAAATCCTTTCCACGCGTCACTCTCTGTTTTTTAGGGTTCCTCAAAGATGCAGTGCTTGTGCCCGCGAGCGTCCGGAGGAGTGGTGGCCGCGATTAGGGCAGAAGCCGGGGCGAAGGTGTCGATCAAATCGCGGGGCAGCGCCCAGCTTCAGCGCTGGGCGAGGGCGCGGCGTGCCAGGACGCTCATCAATCAGAAGAGCAATTCGAATGCGGCGGGTGTGCTGGACAGGGAAGGCGCCAAGAGCGACGAGAGCGATCGGGATGACGATCGGGATCGGGATGAGGAGGAAGACGATGGCAGGGCTGGGGGGAAATCCGTGTTTATGGTGTCGGATGGCACGGGATGGACTGTGGATCACTCGGTTCACGCCGCCTTGGGGCAATTCGAGCATTGCTTGGCTGACAGGGGATGCGCTGTGAATACTCATCTCTTCTCCGAGGTAAGCTCTACGCTATCCTTGCTTTTTTTTCTCTTCAAAGCTACATTATCTTGAGTTTTCTTGCCTCTTCTTTCTCTTCTTATCTCTTGCAACAATGCGAGTGAGGAAAAAGAGACTCTTTTCTGTTTTGGCTTCTACAGTTTCATGTTTTCTATGGCTGAATGTTTCGTCCATGAGAAGTTCCGAGCCAAACACGTAGAGAAAACGTTCTTCCGTCATGGAGAAACTCACGACAGTGTTTTAGATGGTTCCTTTAGGTGAATGACATCGATCGATTAATGGGAGTGATCCACCAAGCCGGCGCAGAAGGAGCCATCCTGGTCTACACACTTGCGGATCCAGCCATGGCCGAGGCGGCGAAAAGGGCTTGCCAGATGCTCGCAGTTCCTTATCTAGATATCCTGGGACCGATCACAGACGCTCTCGGCTCACACCTCAACGTCATCCCACTGGGACTTCCCCGAGGAGCTCCCGGACGCAAGAGCGCACTCTCCAAGCAGTACTTCAAGAGGATCGAAGCGGTGGACTTCACCATCAAGCAGGACGATGGAGCTCTCCCACAAAACTTACACAAGGCCGACCTGGTCCTGGTGGGAGTTTCCAGGACGAGCAAGACACCTCTGTCGACGTACTTGGCTCAGATGGGATACAAAGTCGCGAACGTCCCTTTGGTGCTTGGGATCGAAGCACCAAAGGAGCTCTTCCAGATTGACCAAGACAAGATCTATGGCCTCACCATCGACCCGACGTTCTTGAGATCTATTCGTGCTGCTCGCTACCGCCACCTGGGGCTTGGGAAAGAAACCAAGAGCTCGTATTTCGACATGGAGCACATAAGAACGGAGCTCCAGTACAGTAGGGAGCTGTTTAAGAAGAATCCAACATGGCCAGTGATTGGTATGTTTGTTTCAGACTTTGTTGATCTTCTCATTATGAGGTTTTTTTCAGAGGTGACGGGGAAGGCCATAGAAGAAACAGCCGCAGTGATATTGAGGATTTATCACGAGCGCAAGAATAAGTACGTTATACCAAGGATCTCGAAACGGTATTGATCAATATTGTATAGTTTTCGCTAACACAAGCTATGAGTCTTTGTTATCTTTATCTTTTGGACACGATAAGTTTCTGCTTATCCAGTGGCCTAGAACAAGCAATGCCATCTTCCTCGACGTATTCCTGTCGATCGTGGATGATCAGCTTCCAGATCTGGTATGACGAAGACAAGCTTGTAACACCACGGCGGCGCCCGGTCGCCACGCCACCGGCCAAACTCCTTGATGGCTTGAGTGATGTTGCGAAGATTGAATTAAGGTATTTGTGTCCAGAAAAATCGAAATCACCATCGCTTCTTCGCAAGCTTTTCTTCAAAAGACTTGCTGAGCGTTCCACTTTTTTTTGTTGCATTGCAGTTAAATAATGTTATGTAAGTTATTTTATGTATACGGATTTTCATTTTACAACAACAAAGTCAATCCCAATTCTCACAGTTTTAAAAGAACAAAAAGAATCAACTCTCAAGAATCCAGAATCAACTATAGTGGTTATGTGTTTATCTGATTCTTACAGTATTGAAAGAACAGAAAGAATCAACTCTCGAGAATCCATAATCAACTATAATGGTCATATGTTTATCTAGACAGCTTAAAGATGTTCTTTGCATGCTCTCAAAAGAAAAGGTGCAACTGCGTTGTTGAAGTATGTCAAGCATGCAACTAGATCATCTGAAAAAAACCAACACAACGTTAGTAATGTAGTTTTCTTATCAGAACAGGAGCCAATGGCAGTTGAGCAGGACCAAGAGGAGCAACACCTCAATCTTATGTTGAACAGCTGCACCAACAAATCCAGCCTTAGACACAGGCTGCGTTATAAGAGTGGCTCCCTACAAGTTTCCAAGTCGATAACATAATCCAAAACTTCAACAATCTAGCCAGATGCTTAGATTCTGAAACAGTCCCTTCCAGGCTGCATCTACAGTCCAGATGCTTACGTTGATCGCTAGCACGGTTTCGTCATATAGTGCGCTTACGATCACTTGCAATTTTACTTGCCAATATATCGCTCCCATTATGTAAACTTGATTCACAGTATGGATCTCGTGGGATTTCTCTATATAATGCAAGCACTCTCAGAAATCGAAAATGATGGCAACCGAGTCCTATTTACAAACGACACTAGAGAGTTGTGCTCCGGGTTTTGATATTGTGCCTACCGAGATGGGATGACGAGCTCAGTGCGTTTGAACAGCAGATGGCTTCTTTCTGCAAGAAAATCTCTTCTTCACTTGGCCGAGAGGCTGAGATCAGATGCGCAGGTGTGTCGTTGTGCAATTCCTCAATGGAGTTTTACTTAACGACACTTCCGCCTTTGAGAATCTTATTGAGAATCCGGCAAGTGGTGCAATGTTATATGATGTTTGAAGGATCAAGCCAAATCGTTACGCAGTCTCCCGATCGTGGCACCCTCAGCCCTCGGGTTTAGTTTGCGTCGTTTGTTTCCTTCTTCTTCCTCGTCTTCTTCATCCACTTCATCATCGCTCCTGTCCCTGCAACTCACCTCTTCATCTCCATTGCCCAAAAAGTAACAAATTTTAGCATTGATCACCTTCTTCAACCCGTCTCTAGCAACATCGTCCCATGTCTTGGCACTCTCGCTATCGTCTTTTTCATCGTCCAAAAGTTTAAAATCACCACTTCTCGCATACTTCACTACAACTTTCACCATGTCCTCATTGCCCAGCCAAATTGGAACTTCAGCCAGTTTCTTGTTGTGACTACTATGTTTCAGTGCTCGTGAGAAAAGTTCCGAGAAGAGCTGCGTCACCTTCATCCTTCTTCAAGCCAAACAGCCCGGCTGCTTTTTTCTTTTAACCAAGAGCCCCCAATCCCAATCTTCCAGTTTCCTCACCGCTTCATGGAACTTCTCGTCCATAGCCAAGAGTAGCACAAGCGCATCGGCACTCTTAATCTCACTTAGCCCGCCATAGATTTCTTCAAGGTCAACATCCTTGATGAATCTCTTCCTTCCCAAGGCCATTGCAGTATCAGCTGGCTTTGGACGCTCCCGAGAGCCGACAAGTAGCGTGGAACGTTGTGAGCGTTCACATCCACAACCTTTGCATTGCTCCGCACCAGGCAGAGCCTTGTCCCGTTAGACACCTCGGCCAGCTTGTGCTTGCAATCGCAGAAGAAAGCCATCTCAAAGTACCCCGTCCTAGAGAAATCAAAAGTGACACTCTTGTTCTTCCTCCCGTGACTAATCTCCAGCTTGCCACCCTCGTGCCCGGACTGCATTGGAAGCTGCAAGATCATCGTCGCAAACATGCCTTCTTCCTTTTCCGTATCCCTGTGAGACTTGAAGTGACCATACAACAGCAGCTTATAGCCAAGCGCCGCGGCATCGATCCCAAGCTCCTCCATCGCGGGGATGGCCATGTCGAGCACCACCATGCGCCTTGCCATGTGCGGCGAACGTTGGTGTCGAGCACGGTTTCCTCGCCTTTTCCATAGTGTGCTTGCTCCGACACGGCCCTGAGCTTGAGGAAGCCATCGCTGGAGAGAGGAAGGGCAGCGCCCTCCACTCGCAAGGAGGTGGGCATGACGAATTTGCCTCCCGTGGCATACTTTTGGCGAAAGAGTCCATACTCAGTTATAAACCTACAGTTAGTTTCAAATTTACGGAGCATTTCCTTTTTATATGGATTTTTTTGGCTCAAACCCTCAAACAATTTAGTCTTGCAAACATTGGACTCTTGTTAGCCATATTTTGCCATCAAATGGATTAATGCAAAGCTAATGGTAGCACTGGGGATCTACACTTCAACAGTCATTACTTGGTGTGAGGATGGTGTGTACTTAACCTTGAGGGCAAAAACTAAGCTCACCAAGATCATGGAGCATGGTAAAAAGATAAAAAGAATTTAAACGAATTCTATGTTTGCATAAATTTAAGATTTATAAAAATTTAAATTTAAAATATTTTAAGCAATTATTAATTCACATTTTAATATTTACTGTGTCAAACATTATGCTGTCAATATTTAGATGCCAACTCAAAATTATGGATCGATAGGATTGTGACGAACGCCTGCCTGCGCCCGCAAGTTGGTCGAGCTAGAGATTTTTGGAGCGATCGTATAGATTGCGTACGGCCAGCCCTGTCTCTCCAATCGTGCCTGAAGCAGGGGTAGATGCTCGCGCAGATGATGCTAACAAATCTATCGTCCGAACTTTAAAGACAAGTCATAGAAACTTCTTGAAAAACTCGGCGTACTGTTCGAGGTAGTCCGGTCGAGTGGGAACTATATGCCCCGAGTCATGACGAACTACCATTCGAGAGCCAGGCCTGAACTTCCCGGCCAATCTCTCGCTTTCCGTGCAAGCGATTTGCCGGTCATTGCCAGTTTTCCCACTGAAAATGTGCAGCGAAGGGCAGTCGATCAATCCTCCCAACACCTGTTGCTCTAGCACCGGCGAAACGAACCCCGAGCACAGCACGACGAACTTGATGTCGATCAGTCCAGCATCCTTGAGTGAAGAAAGTATGGCAGCCACGGCCGCTCCCTGCGAGAACCCGAGAACGCCATCGAATGGCCCGCGATCAGCCAATACTTGTCCCAGGTACTCCCAGCTCTCGCTCCAACCCGACGTTTGCTTTTGGTACTGCATGGGATCGAAAGACTTCTGTACTGGAGTCCACGTTTGTGTGCTAGCCTTCGGACCATCCGGATCGGTTAACCACGCAAATTTCTTGTGCGGCTGGGCTGTAGGTTCGCGCCTCGTTTCGTCCTCGAGAAGTTGATAGAGCAGCGGAAGCTCGTGAGGAGCATCTATGAAGACGAACTCGGCTGTACGTCTGAGTTTCTTCGACAGCGATGCGAGCCTGCCCTTCAAGTTTGATGCGTTTTGACGAAAGCCGTGCAGGCACAGTATCCTTAACTTCGAGCCTGTTCACGGTGGGTCATATGTCTGCTATCAAAATTTGATAAGCACTCACATTTATCACGTCCTGATTCTACTGGTTCACTAGAATGCCGATTAGCAGCGCACAGCTCGCAGAGATAAGGCACCGACGCCTGAAAGCACAATGCAAGGTAAAGAGAAGACAAAGATCATATACGAATTACCTTGCAACTTTCGCATAAAAGTACCAGCATACGACACATGGAGCAACGGAGCCGTGGAGTATAGTCATCGTAGGGAGATTTGCAACTATAGCAGCAGCCAACAGTTTTATCTTGTAGCGATGGAACTGATATCCTGCCAGCCAAAGCTTATCAGCTTCCGAGTAAGAGTGATGCATGCACTACCTATGATCGAAAACAAAGTTCTTCCCATGGAAGTATCCTCCTTCAGGAAATGCCTCCAGATACCGCTGAATGCCACCAGAAAGCTGCGTAGCACGAGGTTAGAATCCACCGTACAAACAGGAGAAAACCAAACAACCTGGTAGACGTTCTCGAATTCCTCTCCTTTGCTACGAATGTAAGCAGAAGCCATCTCGCACCGGACACCTCCAGTGCAATACCTGCAACAAACGCAAAAGCATATAACACATGAATGAAAGAAACGACTTAGAAAGAAATACATCAGTACTGATTTGTTGCGCAATTGCTCCGCGTGCTCGTCTATCCAAGCAGGCAAGTCACTGTACTGGCGTATCTTGGGGTCGAGGAAAGCAATTCCCGGAGGCGGGCAAAACTTGCCTATTCGGGTCTCGTAAATGTTCCTTGCATCGAGAACTACAGCGTTGCTTTGTTTCAAGTTTCCTGCACGAATGAAAATCTTGTAAGTTGGAAAGAAAACAAAGGCAGCCACCAAAACCTGCTTGGTCGAGCATTCCATGGAACTGCTCTGGCGATAGATGCTTCCCAGCATTTGCAAGCGACGGAGAAGGGAATACACCAAGCGTCACGATTTCCTAAAAAGCCGAAAAAACGAAAAAAGCTTTGCCCGAGCAAGAACTTGCGAGAAAAGAATTACCTCAACCAGACGAACGGACAAGGAATCAAAGCCACAGCTCGCAGCGGCATCGCGATCCATAGGCCGGGAGCACGCAGCGAGCTTGAAATCGCATCCCTGGAACAGCTCCTGGCCCGCGACAGCATCGATGTGCTCCCTCAGCGATTCCATGCTGCCTCCGACCTAGCAAGAATCCGTGAGAACACAGAGAAATTCCGGAGAATGCCACTCACATACCGTGACATTGACGCCCCCGGGCGCAATCCGTATCCTCCCCAGCAGCGCCAGCGAAGAACACGATCGCTCGAACCAGTTCCTGGTCGCCTCGGGATCCGGCAGCGTGACGAACTTGTAGTAGAGAAGAACTCCCTGCTCTGGGAGCGCCATAGCTCCACAAAAGCCCTAGTTTTCATGGCTACTTGTTAATGGAAAATTCATAGAGTATAGAAGAGTGGCATTTGCTCATAAATAAACGCACAGGCATTCCCGTAGCTCTATCACCCACTGGGGTTCTGTCTTCACTGCGACAGTCCCAGTGAAGGACCCAGGATCAGGGATTTTGATCGAGCGACTAGTGGATGGTTTACATCGAGTCGTAGTGTCTTACGGCATTTGCCTCAGCTGGCATTTCTCTGTTTTTGTCGATGCTAGAAAGTTTCTTCCTCGGAAAGCCAAGAAAATCTCCTAAGAAATCTCATCATCTGGGCTCAAATTCAATGTGGAAGTAAGCTAGCGAACGTTATATGAACTTATAGGAGCGCAAATAAGAATGCTGGCGACATCCCAATTAGTTCCATCCCTATCAAAAGCATTATGATCACATCCACAATTGGCGCGCAATAAAGCTCTTCCATCCCATGGATTTGGAAGGGCTCATAGCAAGCTTCCGAGCTGGCTAATATCTAGCATTGAAGCAAGCTTGAAAAGCTCCATCCCAGCATTCTGTTCGTCCCCGCCAGGATCTTACAGTCGATCCCTATAAGGCAAGTCCTGGAAAAAGATATAAATAAATAAGAAAAGCTCGTTCTTTTGAGCTTACGTTCACTCCAAGCCCGAACAATACCTGGAATGAGTTCCTCCCTTGTTCTTGGAGATATAATCACAAAACCAAGTCTTTGGTATTTACCTTAGCCATCTAAAAAGACGAGTGCTCGTGAAAGTATCATACACACGACTGACGTGGACAGTGATCTCCATTACTGGCGCGAGCAAACCATTAGTTGGAAAAACATCAGGATGAGCTTACTTGACCTGCAAGAGGTCCAAAGAACAAAAAGAGATTGCAAAGTAGATCCAACTTTTGACGAAGATGAGACACTAAAAGGTTTTGGCATTCAAGAGTGAAAGATCGAAGAATCTACAAGACCATTATCTAGAATGACAAGTACATGAAAACTTCTATCTCTTCCATCAGTTCTTTGCGGCAGAGCCTTTAGATCGAAGGATCCTTTTTGCATTGGAACCAGCGAGAAACTTAACTGGTGGTGATTCTAGATCCTCGCCAAGTGATAGAGCTGGACTGTGGCATGGCACGAGAAGAGCAGATAATTCCAAGGTGAATCTCATAAATAGATTCCCAAGAGAATGTACCACTCGTCATGTTGCATGTCCGGCGTCTTGTTGAGATTGATTAGAAGAATTTCTCACAGCAAAGACGAATCCCTAGTTCGGCAATGCGGCGTGGAAGGGGAATCAAAGAATATGTCCGAGACCTTTAGAGTTCCGGTGAAATATTCCTTTAATATTCGGCAACGCGGGAAGGGAATATGTCCGAGACCTTTAGAGTTCCTCGGGTGAAATATTCCTTTAATATTCGAAGAGAAATACAATAAGTAAACCTTTGAAGCTCTCTAAGGCTCATGGATTGGGGATGGACTCAGGCAGAGGACATGACTCCAGTGGTGGGATGGGATCCGCGCGTGGGTGTGCTCGTGGCCGATTGGTTCCAAAGCAGCATAGGTACCAGATTGCTGAGAGTGGTTGCAGGGGCATTCCAGCGCTTTGGGCTGGAGCTGAACTATTTAGCAGAGGCGTCGTGGTTCTACGATATGGATGAGTCGAGTGTGTCGGAGCTCAAGTGGAAGATCTGGACTGTGGCAATCGCTCACGTCCTCCGGGTTCCCGTCCCGGAGGTTTTCTTGCACCTCTTCATCGCTGCCGATTATTTCACGCGCCAGCGAGGTCTCCCCAACCAGCAACGTTACGGTGGCCCGACAGTACTGTCTTTCGTGCTCCCTTGCTACTACGTTACACACAAGCTTGAAGTGGTGAGTTTATCGAGATTTCTTGTGGCAAAGCGGTAAAAGATCGTTTATTTCTTGGTTGCAGCTCATGGAGAGAGATATTCCAACGCCAGCCACCGAAGCGATGTATTCGGCGGAAGGAATTACATGTATGGCTTGTCTCTTTTCCTTTTTTCATTTCTAACCAGCCGGCTGTGCAGATCTTGTGTCGCTCATGTCTAGAGTTCCCTCTACTTTCTCGGCGCGAACATGTCTTCTGGATGCCCTTCTCCTGTTTGATGTGAGCGAGCAGCTCTGCGTGCTCTTCTTCGCGTGGCTGCACCTCCAGGTCCAAGCAAACAAGCAGCCGCGCGAATGGCTCGACGCTTTCGTAGCTCAAGCCAAAGCTGGCGGCGGGGGGCACCTGGGCAAACTCTTGCTCTGCTTCCTAGACACCGTGCACGCATACAGGTTTCAGAAATTCTTTCTGCCAACCAGGGAGAACATCGACAACGTCTATAACGTTTGGTTCAAGGAACTCCCGATGATAGAGTGGCAATCGATCGACCTCACCCCCGGCGTCCGCCAGGTGTTGCAGGTAAAATCCTTAGCTCGATTTGCGAAACAGAGACAGGCTTCTTATTTGTTTCTTTTTTCTTTTTTCTTTTTTTTTGTTTGTTTGGCAGGAGGTGGTGGCAGCAGTGACTCACACATTCGAGTGGGACCAAAGCCTTGTTGTACCTCTGGAGTGCTGGGTTCGAAGGAGCTCGCTCGTTTACCAGCACAGGCCTCGCGAGGTTTCATACTTTATGGACTTTAAGGATGCAAGCTTGCAGATTGGCCGTCTGATCTACACTTGGACACTGACGAAAAAGGGGCAGCGCGACCATGCCGAGCTCCAGACGCTGTGCTCGACGGGCAAGTCGATCGTGGAGCACGCACAGTCGGTGACAGCGGGAAGCAGCGACGAGCGCCAGCTCTACCGTGCCGCCGCTGCCGTTTTCGGCAAGGATTTTAGCGGCCATTTCGTGCAGCTGTGCAGGAACGCGCAGTGGGAGCCGGATGGGGTCCCTTGCTCGCAATCCGAGCTGGGAGAAATAAGGGAGCTGGCATGGAGAGGGCTGATTTTAGTCTTCAACTTCCAGCACAGAGTTCCGGAGCATTACTTTGACGACGGCCATAAACAATGAGTATTGTGCCGTTCGGTGCCATGGTCGTCTACATTGTTCACGTACGCACACCCTTTTCGTTGGAATGTGTTTCTGATTTGTTTCCTTTCTTCTTGTGTGTTTTCTTCCGCAGCTGATATTTGAGGATCACTTGGCTCTGGACATTGATTGCAAAGCGTCACAAGAATGTGAGTGACATGAATTATCTATCTTTGCTTGGTGGAAGTATTTACTAAAGCTGTTTCTGTAGGCACGGTGGCTCTAAATAGTCACCCAAACCTTGATACAATCTGGAGCACAAGAGGCATTTTTATTGCATCAGATGCGACTAAGAAGTAACTCTTGAGAAGTTGATAAACTCTCCCAAAATACAGGGGGCCCTGGGAGCCAGCGCTGATGAAATAGGTGATGCCATGGTCAAGGCGATTGCAGTTGGTGGTACATATTATGATTGGGAACACAAAGAGTTGTGGTTTAAAATGGCGAAAATATTTAGATGGAGCTCACTGCATATATTATAGCATATGCAATTTCCAAAGGAATAATTTAAGAAGTGCATGGATCAGCACGTCATGAAGGCCTTTAAAATACAGCCAAGGGTTAGGGTTTTAGCAGGGACAACCCATTGCTGGAAACATGGCGCGATCGTTGCCGGGAATGCTTTTCTTTGCTTATGGCTTGATCGTGAATCCTGGATGAGGGCATGGGAGCGAATGTGATTGAGAGTAAAATGGGCGATGTCATCCAGGCATAGCAGAAAAAAGAAAAGTCTGAGGTTGCCATCCTAGCGGTGGAGCCACAAGACAATAACCAACATAAATCAATATCTATTTTCAAGGCTGATTCGTGCCTATTGGCAATCTCTGACTCTTTTGCCCTCGTATAATTTACAGAAGTTAATACAACCAAACTCTTCAACCAAAATCTTCATAAATCTGAATGATCACTGATCTATGAATGAAGAAAACTTGTGCTCATCTCTCTAATTGGGCTCTCTCCTTTGGTTCTTTCTCTAGTGAGGCGGCTTTCGGTTTTGTCCTTGAAAGGTACCGAAGTCCTCATATGACTATCCATTAGCTCTGCTCCATTCATCCAAGCACAATAATTCCCAGAGGTAGGTGGTGGATTTTGATTGAGCTCTCCTGCATGCTGCGCATGTGTTGGGCATGGTCACAAAGGCCTAGATTTCTCGATGGCATGACCATTTGGGGCAGGGAATTAAATCTTTTCTCGTTTGCTAACCAGGAGGCAATAACTGGGGTCAGTGTGGAGAGTTATATGTATGCGGCACACATATGGACTGCTCCCTATTTTCGTATATATATGGACGGGAATCCAGCGGCCCTGAAAGCCATGGTGCATATGTTTTAATGGGCACAGCACCTGAGTGGCCTCATGTCAAAGGCGGTCATTGTGGGCACAACATGGACCTTGTGCTTGTGTTGGGATCATCGCGCACATGCACATCCATGAGTATAACTGAATAGCCCCAGGCCATCTTTCACATCATCTTGTCACATATACAGATGGGCAACTGCTACAAGGGGAAAGATGCCCTCTCGGGGCAAATGCTGCATCCGGTGGATGCCAGGGATTAATTAATTAGTTCATCTGCCCAGATGCATTTCGCATATGTCACTGCAAAACAAATGCCCAACCAAAAGGGTGTTTTCATTCAAGGAAACCATTTTCTGAAGGTATATCTGTAGTATATTCCAACTTGCATGAAATTTCAATAAAAAATAACCTGTCGACAATGGCAATGAAAAATCTTGCACAAACCATATTTCTTAAATATGTCAATCATATAAAAAACTGAATATAAATCATGAATCATGAACAATAGCATGGATCACTCACATAGCATAATTGGATCGAGACAAAAATATGATGTGACAAAGTTTAATCAATTAATTAGAAAGTATAGAACCTGCTCTCTGTTCTAGCAAATCTTATTTTAAAGGTAAATAAAAACATTAATGAATATAATGAGTGATAGCATTTGGCCACATGCTATTCCTGAGA